TGAAGGTTCGACAAAACATTTACACTCATTACGATGAAGAAGTCTTGACAAAACATATACGCTCATTACGATGAAAAAGTCATGACAAAACATAAACGATGAAGAAATCATGACAAAACATTTACGCTCATGTTTGACAAAACATTTACACTCATTACGATGAAGAAGTCTTGACAAAACATATACGATGAATGATCATGACAAAACATTTACGATGAAGAAGTCTTGACAAAACATTTACGATGAAGAAGTCTTGACAAAACATAAACGAAGAGATTCCGTATGAAAATTCAAGACCCTTTGGGTCTCGCCGCTTAGCGGCTGAGGGTAGAAATGAGGGTAGAAATGAGGTTAGATCTAACCATCTACCCTAAACATTATTTTTGGATCATTTACGCTCATGTTTGACAAAGCATATACGCTCATTACGATGAAGTCATGACAAAACATATACGATGAAGTCATGACAAAACATATACGATGAAGTCATGACAAAACATTTACGATGAAATCATGACAAAACATATACGATGAAGTCTTGACAAATCATTTACGATGAAATCATGACAAAACATATACGATGAAGTCTTGACAAATCATTTACGATGAAATCATGACAAAACATATACGAAGAAATCATGACAAAACATATACGATGAAGTCTTGACAAATCATTTACGATGAGGTCATGACAAAACATATACGAAGAAATCATGACAAAACATTTACGTTCATGTTTGACAAAACATTTACGATGAGGTCATGACAAAACATTTACGATGAAATCATGACAAAACATATACGATGAGGTCATGACAAAACATATACGAAGAAATCATGACAAAACATTTACGTTCATGTTTGACAAAACATTTACGATGAGGTCATGACAAAACATATACGAAGAAATCATGACAAAACATTTACGTTCATGTTTGACAAAACATTTACGATGAGGTCATGACAAAACATTTACGATGAAATCATGACAAAACATATACGATGAGGTCATGACAAAACATATACGAAGAAATCATGACAAAACATTTACGTTCATGTTTGACAAAACATTTACGATGAGGTCATGACAAAACATTTACGATGAAATCATGACAAAACATTTACGAAGAAGTTTATTTCCTGGACTGTTGTCTAAATGTCATGTTGTCAGTAATTTTAAGAGAAGTTAATTAACCTGGTAGCACATGGTAACATGGTAACATGGTAACAGTGAAAACATTAATGTAAACATTATTTTTGCTGAATTCAACAACAAAATGAACGAGGTCAGGATGTATGCAAATACCTTTGAATTCATTCATAAATGCCTTAGTAAGATCATAAAATGTTTGTTTTGAGGTCGAGCCACTTTTGGCTCCACCGTATTCTTTCAACCAAAACTCAAGAATTTTCCTGTGTGAATTTTGTATAAAAAGCAACCGTCTGAATTCAGGCGATTGCTATATTCTTCACAAAATGCCTTATAATACTCTTCGTTCTACAAAGCAAGCATATCATTGGTTTGAAAACCAACAGATAAAAGAAATTTTAGAAGAATTTCCTCATATGATTGCTTCCCTCGGAAAACCGAGGGAAGAGATTCCGTACAAAAATTCAAGAGGGTAGAAATGAGGTTAGATCTACCCTTCTACCCTAAAATATATTTTGGGTCATTTACACTCATTATGATGAAGAAATCATGACAAAACATATACGATGAATGATCATGACAAAACATTTATGTTATACAGTAATGTTAGTCATGAATGTTTGTCCTACGTGTTGGCGTTAGTGTTGAAAAATAATGTTTGTCCTACATGAAGCCGTACAAGCGTTTGAATTTGTTTATGCATAAGATTACTCTCTTGTTTTCTGTATCTATCATAGAAACATAAGCAGCACCTGTTTTTGTAAAGTTTATATGAAGTTTTCGATAGTTAAGACCTGTATAATAATAGAATGCGTCCTCATTCTCAACATAATAGTAGAACTCAAACGAATGCTTACCATAAGCTGTTATTTCAACAGCTTCGTCAGATATTTCATCAACGAACTCATAAACTATATCGCCATACTTGTTTTTATTTCTATTGTTTTCAGATTTAGAACACCAACGAAGGTTTGAGATTCTGTTGTCCGTTCTATCATGATTTATATGGTCTATTTCTTTCAAATTGTTTGGATTTTCAATCCACTGTTCTGCAATAATTCTATGCTTTAAATGTGTTTTGTTGTTTAAACTAAGCTCAATATAACCATGATTATTTAAGCATTCACTCTTAATATGTTTGTTTTTCTTTCGACGAATAGTAAAAGGATATGTCGTACAAATCTCATAATCTTCATGATTTCTCAATGTTTCCCATTGAGTTTGTTCCCCACTAACGTTCTCATTGACGTCCTCAATATCTTCTTCCTCACTGAACTCGTCAATATTTTCACTAGCTCCTTCTGTAATGTTTTCATCGGCATTGTCATTGACTTCTTCTGTAATGTTAGATGTTGTTGTTTCGCTCATGTTCTTTCACTAATGTTAAAAAGTTATGTTGTACGAATTTTGAACAGAATTTAGAGCAGTTATGAAACAATGAAGTACTTTTACGCTATTGAAAGGAACTATGAGAGTGAAGTACATGACAGCAATGACAAAAGGAACTAATATCAAACCTAATGAAATCGCTCACGAGGACATAGAGCTTAACAAGTACTTTGTGGAGTATCTTATAAGTGAAGAGTATGTAAGACCTTACTTCATGTTTGACAGCATGAATGAGGATGTTATTTCATGGTTAAAGAATATAAGCAATGTTTTCGGTAAGTACGTCATAGATGACAAAGGTCTTGTTGTATTTTATGAGACAGCAATACGAACACAGGAACTAATGGATATTATGCACTCAACAGCAAAGAAAGGATTTAGTACTATTGGCATGAATGAACATTGCAGGAATGACATATACAACCTATGCTCACGAAAGCCTTACACAAAAGCAATACAAATGATAGAACATAAGTGTCTAAGGTCAGCAAATGAAATCATTACTGTCAGTGGTTATGAAAGAACTGTTAGCAAAGATGAGTGGAAACAGCTATTCATATTAAGGAAGGACGTTGCTGAACTAGTTAAACCTGTTGCACAAACATTGTTTCAGATAAGACCAGCAATGACTAAGAACCCTTTGACCTTAGTCAATGAGACCATAGAGGTTGAAGATAATGACATGAAAGAACTAGGAATGAATGAGAGAAGTTGTGAAGGATGTTTGAGTCAAAACACATGGTTCTTCAGAGCTGTTAAGAAACTTAGTAAAGAACGACAGAAATATTTTATAGAGAAGTATTGCAAAGGATGTGTAAATGAATTGCTTGAAATAGAACTTAGAGACACTTTCACACTAAAGGACTTGAGGAAAATAAGTACATGAGTGAGGACGGTATTGACATAGCTAGTGTTATAAATGACTTAAGAAGATGTGTTGTTGTTATTGACGGAGCACGTATGACATATCTAGTGAAAGATTATGATGGAATACGAGACACAACAACACTTGTGTCAGTAGATAGCAAGGAATTCAATAAGCTCATGAAGAGTATTTATGTAGGACGTATTGAGGAGAAGGATGTGAACGCACTGATGATTTATGAAGCGGGTCAGAACAAGAACTATCTTATGAAGTCAGGCATGAGATTCTTTGACGAAAGAGATGACATTTACAGCTATTTCAGAGGATATGAGTATGAGGTACTGAATGAAGTAGATGAGAACGTTATTGAAGGATATTTGAAACATGTTCACGATGTCATATGTAATGAGGATGAAGAGCTTTATGAGTATGTTTTGAACTGGTTCGCCTACATCGTTCAAAATCCTTGTGGAAAGACTGGAACAGTACTTTTGTTAATAGGAAAGCAAGGAACTGGTAAGAATGTACTTAGTAATGTTCTATGCGAGCTCATTAGCAAGTACGCCAACAATAATATAACGGCAATAGAGAATGTGGTTGGTAGATTCAATGCTGCTATTGAGAACATGAAGCTCATCGTATGCAATGAACTAAGCTCATGCGATACGTCTAAGGTCATGAACCACGACGCACTAAAGTCAATAGTAACAGAGACTCAGTTGGACTTAAATCAGAAGTGTCAGCCAGTAAGAAAGATAGAGAATGTTTGTAATATCATCATGATATCTAACAACTTCAACTCAGTAAAGATTGACAAAGACGACAGAAGATTTGTTGTCATTGACGTAAGCAGCAGATACAAAGGAAATTACGAATATTTCTCAAATCTCATTGAAAGCTTTAATGAAGAGTTTTATTCAAACTTACTGACGTACTTCATGAAGAAAGATTTAAGTGAATTTGATGTAAGGAAGATACCATTCACCAGGGCTAAACAAGAACTCATCGAAATGAACAAAACACCTTACCAAATGTTTTACGAGGAGTTCTATGAAAAGTTTGTATCCGGATGGAATTGTACAGAGTGCTACAGAAGATATAAAGAATTTGCGAAGGAGAATGAATTCTTTGCATGTAGTTCAAATGTATTTGGTGGCAAGATGAGAGAATTTGTGAAAAGAAGTAGAAAGCGAGACGGTTCTGCAAGAAGTTATATTTACGAAGCAAGTATGATATTAGAAGGTCGTGGAAAGAAAGAAACAGTGAATTATGAGGAAGTGCTTGAAAAATTCATGGAGTACATGGGAAGCAATATAACATACAACAAAGACATATACAGTGAGTTTAAGTACTATTGTGAACAGCATGAGATTGAAGTAATGAGTAAAGGAGACTTTGAAACGCTTATGAAAGACAGTGAGGAGGTCATACATGAAACAATGATGAAATAGTTCATGAGAACAGTGAGGAGGTCATACATGAATGCAATGATGAAATAGTTCATGAGAACAGTGAGGAGGTCATACATGAATGCAATGATGAAATAGTTCATGAGAACAGTGAGGAGGTCATACATGAGAACAGTGTTGAAATAGTTCATGAGAACAGTAGGAGGTCATACATGAGAATGTTGAAATAGTTCATGAGAACAGTAAGGAGGTCATACATGAGAACAGTGTTGAAATAGTTCATGAGAACAGTGAGGAGGTCATACATGAGAACAGTGTTGAAATAGTTCATGAGAACAGTGAGGAGGTCATACATGAGAACAGTGATGAAATAGTTCATGAGAACAGTGAGGAGGTCGTTCATGAGAACAATAATGAAATAGTTCACGATGTCGTTCGTGAAGAAGCCATTGCAACAAAGAATGAGATAAAGGATTTCATAGAACTTAACAAGGAGGAGTTTAAAGAAGGCTATGAAGTGAAAAGATGTGAAGAAGATTTCTTGGCGTATTTGAAGAAAAAGAGACTAAAGCCAATGGCTCAAAATAAGTTTCAATCGATGTTTGAAAAGAAACGTTTGAGCTATGGTGGTGTAAGAAGCACATATTACTTTGTTAAGAAGTGAGGACATTTATTTTTGTCGTTAGTGTTGGAGTTTGTGTTTGTTGTTAGTGTTTGTCATTTGTGCTGAGGTTAGTACTTGTCGTTAGTGTTTGTCATTTGTGTTTGTTGTTAGTGAGAGAATAAATTAAATCATGAACTTTGCCATGGTCTCTGTCCCTAGTAGTTTTCATTAAGTTCTGGAAATAATGAAAGTCATACTTTCTATCAGATGAAGCATGCAGATGAACATAATGAAAGTTAGTGGGTTTGCCACGAGTTATGAATAAAATATTGGCATATTAGATGAGATAGCTGATGAAACAGATGAAGATAAATTAAATCTTGGACTTTGCCACACTCTGTCCCTAGTTCCTCAAAATCCTTGACAACGTTGCTTAGAAATTTTGGTTCAAAACCTCATCTGATTTTAATCTGTTATGCTACCTGTTAAGTTTCGCGAGATTATAAATGTCATGGAGTTATATAAAAAGGAGGGACAGCTAGGGACACTGGAAGTACTTGTAAGGCTATTTGTTAAGATTGCATGAAATACTAAAAGTCATGAAATCCATTATCGCTGTGCTAGTTTCACCTTAGAGTAAAATGACAAATAAAGTCACTGAAGCAATGAAACAAAAGTTTTTGGTAGAATACATTAAATCAGGAACTATTCCAGAAGGTTTTTACATTCATACTATGAAGGATGGTAGAGTTCAGTTTAGAAAGATAAAGCAACCATTAGATAAAGAAGGAATTTTAAGAAAGATTAAACTTCATGAGGACAACATTGCTGAACTTAAGAAGAAGTTAGAAGAGTTGGAGAAAGGAAGAGAGTTATAAAGCAATGAATTCAACAGGTTAGAAATGAGGGTAGAAATGAGGTTAGATCTAACCTTCTACCCTAAACATTATTTTTGTGCTATGTTTTCATACGTGTGAGGGTGGTGATATCATTAATTTTTAAGTTTATTTTTATATAAATGACAGAACAAAAATAAAGCATATCTACTCAGCAGGAATGAGACCCTTACTGACTATGTATTCGTTTAATGCTTGATGAAAACAATGGTACATATTATCGTATGGGTATACACAACGTCTGTTTCCATCGTCGTCGTATATGTAGAGCTCAAATCCAGTCCAACCTTCTTTTGTACAATATGTAGCTTTATTTAAGTATGCATTTGTGTAGATAAGGCAATTTTCTTCATCGCTCCAGAAATAATTTTTGTTCTTTGTTGAAATAGTTTTCGTTCCTCTGCGACCATAAGGAATGTATGCAATGAACTTTGCGTCATAAGGGATTGTAATATATTCAGGGTTTCTTTCATCGTCAATGGGTCTGTCTTTGTTAAAATGCATGTTTCTCAGTTTTACTTGAGTTTTGAATAGTTCACGAAAACGTTCTGGGAAAGAGTCATAGTAAATGTAGTCGGACATGTCTTTGTAATGAAATAAAAAATTTAAAAAAATAAAAATAAGGTTATTTTTATTTAGTGAGGACGGTAGGGAATTCGTTAGTGAAGTCGTTTATGTGTCAGATGGTTTTGTAAATATTTAAGGTTAAGTTGGGTAAGGTGGAACGCATTGCCGCCGTACCCAAGTTAACCATACTAACTGAAGTCGTTAGTGAAGTCGTTAGTGAAGTCATTTATGTGTCAGACGGTTTTGTAAATATTTAAGGTTAAGTTGGGTAAGGTGGAACGCAGTGCCGCCGTACCCTTGATAATCATACTAACTTCTCATGATGATTTAAAGCGTGTCTTTGAAGCCTGGATCGATCGCTGCGAACGCGTGATTGAATCCAATGGTGATTATATTTAAATAAACTTTATATATATGTAACTTGTTTATTTCTATTCGCAGTATTCAGGTTTGTGCTAAACACACCTTTGGACACCCTATATTTTGAATCAAATCAAGACCGTGTTTACGCACAATTAAGGTGTTTCAAAGATCTTAATATCCCATTTGATAGTGGGATCATTCCGGAAATGTTTCAACAATCTACAGATGCTTTAAAAAAGTTTTCTAAACGCCTTCATGCAATCAATACCCGTTTCTCAGCGGATGATGTTACATCTCTTGCAATTTTTGTCGACATGGTTAAGAGTCATTCTCCGGATGATCTCATCGAGTTTATTCACGAGCCAGATTGTATGATTTTCTATTACGCCCCATTCGAAGCAAATGCTTTTTCACATCAAATACAAACTTATCACATTGATTCCACTTATAAGCTCTTGCGCTCTCGCATACCATTTTATGCCGTCATTGGCAAATTCGCGGAATCAATTGTTTTTCCGTTTTTGTATTTTTTCGTTTGGCCCGACACAAGTGAAAATATACAAGTTTGTCTCACAGCATATTTTGGCTCCATCAATCGCGAACCATCTTATTTTTCAATGGACTGCGCACCTCAAATCACAAATGCTGTTGAAACAGCCATCCCCTTATGCCAGATCATTTGGTGTGGCGTTCATGTGTTGCGCGCTGTCATGAGAAAGGCTGAAAAGTTTCAAGATCGTTCCAACTTCGAAACTTTCTATAACTTAATGAAGCTATTGGTCTTTGGTTCTGAAGAGGAAGAAATTGATCCTGATGAATTTCTGATGTGTCACTTTTGATGAATTTCTGTTTACAACAATATTTTATTAAAATGTGATTTTTAATAGTAAGTGAATAAAATAAATCAGGAATTGGGAAAGAAATAAGGTTAATTAAAAATAATGAAAATTACAAGTTTAAGGTTAATGAAAAGTGACAATGGGCGAGTTTGTCCCCCACTCATGGATGATTGATTTGTGTCCTATTGTAAATATATTTCTGTGTAATATTTTAGCAACGAAATCGAAATTACTAAGGCATCAAATCTGCTCGAAAAAAAATTTCTGAAAGGATTAGAATTTGTAAACAATTCTATCGCTCAGAAATTACAGTGAATATCTTGTATAGAATATGATAATGAAAAACATTTACCGAATAATTGATGTCTTCAATCAAAAAACTATTCATTTTTGAGAGAGAAAAAAAAGAACGATGAGAAATTAGCAATTCAATTTTAAATGTGCGGAATCTTTGGTTTTATTAACTACCTGAAGAAGCTTAATCAAAAGGAAATCATTCAGATAGTAATAAATGGCTTAAATAACCTTCAATATCGTGGCCATGATTCAATGGGTGTTTCTTTTGATAATGGCGATGATAATAACAGAAGTATTGTTGTTGCAAAGTCAACAGGTTCGTTAAAAGAGATCCAATCACTACTTCATGACATACTTTCGCAAGCACATCCTCCAGAGTTTAACACACACGTCGCAATTGGCCACACACGCTGGGCAACACACGGAAAACCTGCTCAAGTTAACGCTCATCCACAGATATCATCATCCTCGATGGAATTTGTCGTTGTTCACAATGGAAGTATTGATAATTACAATGACTTCCGTTATTTCCTTGAACAACACAGTTTCCTCGCCGGCCAACGTGCCAGAAAGTCAAGTTCCGTCAGTTATCCAGATCATGGCGATCTTGATGGAGTAATTCATGTTGCAAAGAATGAACTTGAAGCCGGACCATACCACATGTACTCCGAAACAGATACAGAAGTCCTTGCTAAATTTGCCCTTTTCGTTTACCAGCATCTTGAAAATCCTACATTTCCTGAATCAATTATCAACGGTTACCGCTTCCTCCAAGGATCCGGCTCCGTTATCTTCAAATCTCGCTTCTTCCCTGAAGAAGCCGTCGCTTGCCGCTTCGTTTCTCCAATGGTTCTTGGTTTCAAATACAGTGGAGACTTCCAGAGGAAATTCAAAGTAACAAACCTCAAGAATTTCAGTCCATCTGACTTCAAGACATGGAAATTCGAAACAGACGGCTTCCAAAAGATCGATAACACCGGAGTTGAACCAATCCCAGTTCCAGAACAAATTTTTGTCGCATCCGGTGCTCAATCTTTTGCAGAATACACTCACGAAGTAATGTATCTCAAGAATTACGATATCGTACACTTCACAAAGAACGGAATTTACATATATAATATTTCTGACGACCCAGATACAGAGCGTGAGATCAAGCAGATCATTCCACAAGAACCAGAGACTGAAAGGCAATTCCCAGATGAGGACACACTCTCAGAAATCTACCAGCAACCTTCAGTTTTACAAAATATGATCACCAAATACATTCAACCAACGAAAATTGTCATCCCAGCTCTAGAGCCATACCTTGAAAGACTCCGCCGTGCACAGATGATCATTCTTATCTCAAGTGGCAGCTCATACAACGCGACACTCTGCGTGAGAACACTCATGGAGTCGTTGCTTCCGATGCCTGTCTTCTGCGAGTTCCCATCTGAGATGAATGAGCGCGGTGGAAAGTTAAATGAAAATGTTGTTTGCATATTTGTTTCTCAATCAGGTGAAACAGCCGATACATTATACGCCTTACATCAAGCAAGACTCAAGAAAGCCTTCTGTTTAGGAATTACCAACACAAGAGGTTCTACAATATCTCAAGCGGCCAATTTGACACTTTACACCGATGTTGGCATCGAGCGTGGTGTTGCATCGACAAAAACATTCTCAGCGAACGTATTACTTCTGACTCTTCTTACATTTGCGGTTCATGAAGCTCCGATCGACACTACACCGCTTCTCGGATTGAAGCAAGCACTTCTCGATACAATAAAGATGCTTCCTCAATTCGACGAAATCGCCAAAACAATGATCGAACACGATTCAATAATCGCGTGCGGAAGAGGTATCAATTACGCCATTGCTAGAGAGGCAGCTATGAAGCTGAGAACACTTGCTTACAAGCACTGTGAGTCTTTCCACGAAGGAGAACTCAAACACGGTCCAATCGCGTTGGTCGATGAGAAATCTAAGATTATTTTCTTGGCAACAGTCAGCAAACATACACAGATCGAAGAATACAGAGCTACTCTTGGTCAGATCGATGCAAGAAATGGTCATTCTGTTATTCTGACTGATCCAGAATCCGCAAAAGTTTTAGATTTCTTCGCCGATGAATTGATCGTCGTTCCAAAGGTCGAGGAATACTTACAGCCTCTTGTAAATGTAATTCCTGTGCAGCTTATAGCTTACTGTTTATCAAAACAAACAGGTGTTCAGACTGATAAGCCAAGAAACCTTGCAAAGTGCGCAACTATTATTTAATTTCATTTCTTTCATAGTTTTCTTTCCTTTTTGATAAATATTAGTTTTAGTACAACTTCGGTTAATTGAAAAAAAAAATATAACTTTAATTTTTTTATACTTTTAAGACTTAATGGTTCTATAAATGGATGACAATTTGCTGGTTATAGTTTTCTTGCAAATATTAAATGTTGAATTCGATTTGAAGCAAATCTCATAAACACTGAGTTTAAATAGTGGTCAAAGAAGAGAAATTAGAATTTTAGCTAATGTGTTAAGAATTATTGAGATTAGACATAACAATTGTTTGAATAAAAAATCTCAAATTTAATTTTGATAATAAAGAGATGAAATCTCAATTAGAACCGAGCTATGAGGTAATGGACATTCTATAAACGTACCTTAATTACATTTTAAAAATAAAATTTGGAGAATACAATGAAAGGTCAGTAATCTCTCAAAAATTAAATCTTATTCGACTAACATAGTTGAATATTATTTCATTATTGATGAAGTGCGAGATTTTTTTCTTTCAAAAAATTGATTGTTAATTAGCCGGGGCTATATTGTTGTGTGTACCAAAATTCCAAAATATTGGTGAAAATTAATTTGAAATACCATTCAAAATTCTATGGTGTTTAAGAATTATTGTGATGGGTATGGACAATTAAATATCAAATTAATATTTTGGAAAAACTATATCCTAATCGTAAATTACAAAATATTGATAAAATTTCAAGAAAATTTTCAATGTGAAGTGAAGTTAGACCAAATCTCAGCAATGACAGTACAGATTGCAGACGAGGTTGATGATCACCTTATGATGAAGGATGGCCTTGTTGTCAACAAAGATGATAAGGAATATCACGAGTATATGGATTCCCTATACCAAAAACTCGGTGAAAACAAGAAACGTATCACTTGCCCAACAGAAAGATCCTTAAGTGTTGCTCACCCATGGCATGGTGTTTCAATCGGCCCATCTTATCCAGATGTTGTCTCTGTTGTTATTGAGATTCCAGCATTGAGCCGTGTCAAAACAGAACTTGATAAGCCATCAGGTCTTCTCAAAGTCGATAGAATTCTTCACTCATCTGTTATCTATCCAGCAAACTATGGTTTTATTCCAGAAACACTCGCAGAAGATAATGACCCTCTCGATGTTCTCGTCCTTTGCCAGCTCAGTGTTCCACCTCTTTCTTTGATGAAGGTTAGACCAATCGGTATTATGCCAATGGTTGATGGTGGTGATCCAGATGATAAGATCATCGCTGTTGCTATCAATGATCCAGAATATAACATCTACTATGATGTTAGTGAACTCCCACCATTCAAGCTTCTTATGATCAACCAGTTCTTCAACGACTATAAGACACTTGAGCGCAAGGAAGTCCGTACATTCAAGCCAATGGGTGCTGGACATGCTAAGAGAATCATCCAGCAATGCTATGACTTATACCATACACATTTCAAGATTGATAAGAAATAAAAATTCTTTTTGTTGAACCAATACGTCTTAAATAACTATAAACTTTTTAATTTACTGTTGTAACTTTGAATTCTCTAGTCGATTTATATGAGATCTCTCAAATTTCATGAAATGATTGTGAATTTCATTTGGAAAACCATTAGAACACAAGCATAGTACCCAAATACAGCTGCTCGATTTTCCAAATAATTTTTAAAAACTGAATTTTCACAAACATTGTTTAGAATCTGAGCTTGATTTTCAAGTTTTTCAATTTTTTTTTGGAAATTTTATTATGAAAATCGTTAATATTGAAATATATGAAGGTTTTTATAAAATATTAAATCAGTAGATAGATTTAGTTTTATATATTTATATTAGGATTATAGAAAAATTTGATATATTACTCAAATATGATATAAATCAAATATGATATAAATCAAATTAATCCTGACAAAAATAATAATTTTTTCTGTTCTCTTTCCATCTTCTTCCCAAAAATTGTTGTTTCTTATTTTTTAAAGAAGGACATCCATGATTATCCAATAATCCATTAGGAATTTCCAATTAAAACAAAGCCATTCAAATATTTATGAATAAGTCATGCATATATTGTGGTAATCTCAAAAAATTCGTTGATTTATTAACACAATTTTGTCAGTTTTTTTATAAAATGAAGAAAACAAATATTACTCCTCGAAGCACAAACGGACCTTCAAAACTACCTCAACTTAATAAAAAAGGTGTGATTCCTCCCCAACAGAAAGATACAGCCAAACCTGCTCCTAGAAATCCTACACCAAAATCTCCTCAAAACTCCGCTCCAAGTTCACAACGATCTAAAACTAAAGAACCAGTTAATGAAGATGTTTGGGCAAAATCTGAGAGATTGGTAAAAGAATGTGAAAAAGAATTTGGATTTAAGGCAGATGATCCAGATATTACAGAAAAAGACAAAGATTGGCTTAAAACCCTCGATGAACTTGATGATGAACTGAACAGAACATTTGTTCAAGAATCTTATCTTGATCCTTCGATCTTACTGACGATGGATGATGTAATGAATGAAGTAGATTATACTGAAGATCCTCTAGAAAACTTTTCAAAGATGACAAATGCTGCTTTCGATAAAATTCACGAAAATAAGGAAGTCTTGGACAAAATATTGGACCAAAGAATTGAAGTTTGCAATAAGATTAGAGATATGATCATGGGCCATAAAGCTTCAGATATTTACAAAGCGGATCAATTACCTGATGAAAAAGTTTGATTTCATTATAATTTACATGCATTCTCGCATTTTAATATATACACATATTTACCATTATACTTGTTTTTGTTAGTTATTGTATAGTTAATAAATTGTTCTTAATGTTTCTTATCAAACAAGATTTTTTGAGCATTTTGGGTTCATGAGATTCCTTAATATCAAGATATTAAGTAGTTGGATGGATAGTGCTAATATAAAATAATGTTTTGAAAAAAAAATTAATATTATTTTTTCAAAAAATCAAACAAGTTTATTCTAATATATACAAAATTCTCTATCATTCATCGAGAGGATCAACAAAATCAATGTCTTCTTGGTCCAAAGAAAGTTGCTGATTATTAAATGGAAGATTGCCAATAGAACAGTCTGGCCAATCATCTACAACTCCACTATCTTCTAATGGAGTCCAATTAAGGAGATTATCTGGAATTGGAAATGATTTACTGATAAATTCATACCAAGCTATTGCAGATTGGTTTCCTTCGTGTGCCAACTCAAACAGTGAAGAACAGAAAGATTGCCCAAGGTCAGGAATTCTATCCAAGTTATGTAATAAATCAATTACTTTCCAACCATAGGTTTTAACCGAAGATTCGTTTTCATTTGTTATGAACTTCAGTAACTCTGGCATCCCGAATGCAAGTATAATGTTATTTGGCAGATTTTGAAACGGAATTTTTCCAGAATTTAAGTAAATCATAATTTCTTCACGAGCATTTGCTCTTGATTGCATTATTAAATTGTATTGTTCACTCCAATAGTATTTTTTAAGATAGATAAGTGCAGAAACAGCACCAGCAGCTGCAAATTCGAATGTAGGAAGTTTTCCATGAGTTGCTAAATGTCTTATTGATATAATATGCTCTGGGATATTGCATTGTTCACCTATTCTTTGTATTGAAGAAGCAATATTTGTATTTTTATATGGTTCTATAAGACCATTTATAAATCTAATAACAGCAAGAGATAATGCGTTGACATTTCTATTGTGATGTAATTCTCTTTGTAAGTCAGCTGTGACTTCTATTGAAATTGGAATATCTCTTTTTGTTGCCCATGCGGAAACTATTGCACATCCTTTAAGAATTTCATTCTCATTCTCACTAAATAACAGTTCGTAAACTTCAATCCATTCATCCCAGTTTTTCCATGGAACTGGCTTAGATTGCGAACTCATGAATGAAAATTGATATGGCAACAATATTCAAAAGATATATGCTATTCGATTCTCTAATCAAAGATATATTTAGAATATAGAAAATTCATAGAGTATAAAATCCTGCATTCATAATATGCTGATATTATCAATTTAGATTATATAAATAGTTATCTTTAGATGTTTATTTCATTTTCTACTATAAGATCTCATATTAGTCAACAAATGAAGATATTGAAAAAAAATTGCATGAAATTCTGAAAAAAAGAGACCACAGAATTTCTTAAAAAGGTTCAAATAAATCAAAACTATTGGAAATTTAGAAAACCAATTTCAAGATTGTGGAATTGAAACAATGAACATAACTCTTGTTATATGCTGCATCATGCTGTCCATGCAAATTCTAATATAACTGTAAATGATATTGAACATTTTATTTAATTTATCACGAACGATAAAGAGTTAAGGGTCCACTGTAAGGCCAAATAAGGTCTATCGTCGTCCCAAAAATATTGCTCGAGATGGTGTTTTACTAAGGCCCAAAACTTAAAAAAACACAAAAAAATTAACTTTACTCTTTTGAGATCCTTATCAGATATGCATCAATTTGATGCAGTATCGCAGTTCAAATCTGATTTTTTAATGTAGATGTACTCTAACATCCTTTAAAAATGCAAAATGATATTAATTAAGCTTTTCATTTCTGTATCATACACGAAACAAAATCGTTCATTATACTAAAATTTATCAAAGTTTGATTAATGAAAAAATAATATCTAAATTTTTACATTGAGTCGGCTATTGATATGGTTAATATTAAATCTTGTAAAAATTGGCATTATCCAGAATAATACCCACTAAAATACACAATTTTTTTTAAAAAAATTTTATCAATTGTTATGGTATATCTTTATGATAATGAATAAAATGTTTATTTTTCATAAGTAAATACATAATTTATGCTTAAACACAAAAAATAACACGAAAATTTTTGGGCGCGTAAAGGGTTGGCGTCCGAGTAGGTGACAAAAGTGCATACTCTTAAATTAACCTTAAATGTTGATTTTTCGATAGAGTAGGTGCCAAAAGTGTTTACTCTTAAACAACCATCGGATTTCCGGGTGAAATCGTGACACACTTTCGTCTTTCGTAGGCAGTGGTGGTTGTTACAAAAGGTAACTTCGAATGTAGCGTGAAATCTGCAAAAAAAATTCTGAAATTTGAATGGAGAACACAAAAATTGAATAGTTTACGTCAATAAAAAAGAGAAAAATGAAGCCAATGTGTCTCGAACCTAGGACTTAGAGCAGCAATCCCACTGTTTATCCCATTACACTACATGCATCTCTCACCTCAGTGAATGAGATCAACTATATGATAACTTTTTTCCCATTATATTCTTGTGGAAAAGTGACAAATAGCAACTTTGACCCTCTCTCGTTGGCGTCCTAAGGCGTCCTGATGTAAACTATTCAATTTTTGAGAAGTTTACACCATAATTGAATAGTTTATGGCGTCCTGAGAGGAGATTTCAATGGGTATGGCGTCCTAAAAAAATAGAAGAAAATGATTTTTTTCTCGATTTTTCTAGAAATTGAATTTTTTAAAAAAGAAAAAAATCAAAACGTATACATTCAAGAAAGACTATAAATGAAGATTTTTCTATTTTTTTTTCATTCTAAAAAATCTTTTTTTGGATAATTTTTTTTTTAATAAATATGTAAGAAAGATTGAAGAAAAAGTAAATTTACTTTAAGAAAATTCGTTTTACATGATGTAAGACCCATAACAACTATAAATATTCAATTATTTAAAATAAAAAAAGAAAAACAGATTAAATGTATCTCACATCAAAATCCATTGACCTAAGGATGTTAAGTTTCTGTTTTTAAAAGTTGATATTTTTTTTTTAATTTTAAGAAAATTAATAGCATGTTATTAGACAATAGGAGTGTAATGATCTTGACTAAACAGAAATGAGAGAATAGAGATATAATTTTGATAAGCAATATTGCGAACAAATTCTGAAGTAAAATCGCGATCAATAATTGAAAATTACGATCATGTACTGAAAAATGACGATCGAATTGAATGAATAGAATTATATCTAAGAAAAAATAAATTGTATTTAGAAGATGAACAAAGAAAGGTGTATGCTAAAAATCATTTAACAATAAATGGAAATAAAACGAAATTGTTAAAAAAAAAAATGAAAATTGTTAAGGGTGCACACGAGAGGATCATGTAAACTTCAGAATTTAGAACCTTATTTTTAGGCATTATCTTGGCTACCTATTTAGGCTCGAAAAGCAAAAAATATCAAAAAATACAACTTGACTCCATTATGACCCTTTCATGGAGGTAGTTTTTATCCGCTAGTATTTTCCCTTTGAATCTCTTTACAATTCGAAATCAAATTCAAATCTCAGTAGAAGAAAGGAAGAATCGACTTACTACGGTTGTAATACGAATAAATACATATATTTAATTATTTTTATTTACATAATAATTGTTTGAAGCTCATATTCCAACAAATTTTTAAATAAAAACATTAAAATGTTGAAAATGTTCATATATTTTAATAGGGTTTTGGCACTTTATTGAGGAATTACTACATACATAGTCGAACTGAACTTGATATTTTGAAATTTAAATTATTTATCAAAATTAAAATTTAACTTGAAATTTATAATTATTTAGTCATATTTTGCATAATTCTAAGTAGATTTTGTAAAAAATCAAGAAAGAAAAATTTTAACGTGCTTTATTTTTTCTTTTTTATAATAATACATATTATTATATAATTAACATATTCATAATGTTTCACCCTTTCAAAAATATAATCCTCCTCCTCTCAAATAAACGTACATACGGGTGGCCTCTTTTTTCAAAAAATTAAAATTTGAAATTTTGGGCTCAAATATTAGAGATTTTTTCAACCTTCAACGATATATGTTGTCTATATCAGACCTCCTTTCTTTTTGATACTTAACATTGTTCCTAAATCTTAGCAGTTAAGGCTGTTCTGAAAATATTTTTTTTTCGAAAAAATTCGAAAAAAATTCTTAAAATTCAAAAATCCCTTAATTCCTGAGGATTTTGGAAAAAAGTTTTTACATGAACATGTGTATATTATATGAAGTATATTGATAAGGTAAAAATCAAATTTTATTGCATATTCATCGAGAAAATAAACTAACGAATCCCTCAAAATTGAGAGGGTAATCCTCCTCCTCTCAAATAAACGTACATACGGGTGCACCCTTAAATAATATATTATTTTTTAGTCATAAGAATAAAAATATAGTAGTTATAAAAGGAATTAGACTTCATATATCAATTCTTTTTCTCTGTAGATGTGGAACGTTTGCTTTTCGATCTCTTTCGATGAACTTGAAAATATAAGTTATTATCGCTGAGAATCCTTTCCGAAATAGGAGCTTTACGTTTAGGAGGATTGTCGGATGAATTTTGTTTTTTATTGTTTGATTTTGTTGTTATGGAAGATTTTTTCTTATTTTTTTCAGAATTTTGCTTGCTATTAACTGAAACTTGTTTTGACGGCCCAACAATAGCATTTGTAGTAGGAAGAATTCCCAATAACGAGCGCATTTTCGATAATTGTTTTTCAATATGATCAAGAAGGTCCAGCTTATGTTCTAGATTACTAGACATTTGATTTGTAGAAGGATGGTTTTGATTTTCTGGTTCTAAATCTGTAGAGTCTGCAATATTTGAATTTTCGGAGCGAATTGGAGCATCTGAACCTTGATTTGTATCGGCTTGCTCAAAATTAGTTTGAATTGGAGTGGATGAATTAAAATCTGGATGATTTAATGTTTCATTAAATAATGCCATAATTTTTTCTCTTTTTTCATTAATAAACTTAGTGATCATTGTATCTTTATCTGTTAGATCGATCGATTTGAGTATATCTGCATCATGAACTGGAATATTTTCGAACAATGAACTCGATTCTATGGAACCATATGGAGAAATCTCGTTCTGAGCCAAAGAAAGATCACTTACGTTGTATTGTTTGATAGAAAAATTGTTTTCTCAAGTTCTTTTTGAAAGCAGTCAAGAATATAATTTTTGTAGCTATCAGTGATAACGGTTTTTATATGGCGCTCGATCTTCTGGTTATTTTTGATGGCGTTATATTTATCTAATTGGATTTGAGATATCTTCTTAATAGCTTCATAAATGTTTGGATGTTTTAACGAAGAAAATTCTGAATGCATACTCTCGAGGCAATCATTAGTGAATATTGCAGTTGCATTATTATATTGAGATATTAAATTGTAGTGCGGCAACCAAACTTTGTTGAAATAATCAATATAATCTTTGATCGAATCAACTTTATTTTGATTAATTATATGCATTGTAAGTACAAATTCTTCATGAGACATGAATGGAGTAATAGAATATAGCTTAAATAAAGAATTTTGTAAAGTATTGAAATTTTTTGTATAAAGTGCTACAAGTTTCCTGTGTAAAGCTTGTTTGAAATGAAATAGGCATCCAATTATACGGACTTTAGGGAAAATTTGTTGAAGTGCCTCTATCATTCCCTTTTCAAAATCACAATGAATTTGAATTAGCTTTGAAAATTGAATACCCTTGACAGTAAAAATATATTCAAATGCCTTCTTATAAGATTCAAATGTGCGGTTTTTCATGAATATAAATAAAAGTGGTAGATATTGATTTGTTGAAGGTTCACAAATCATAATTGTTAGCATCTGTCCTTTTTGAAAATGTTTTGGTGTAATTTTAAAAGTTCCATCGCAAAATAAATCTGTGGCTTCTTTTGCAAATTGAATTGCCTTCTCAAAACCAAAAAACATCGTCTCACAATTTGCTTGAAAATCATGGCCAATGAAAAACTGCTCGCCATTTATTAAACAAAAATTAGCAATTTCATCGTCTGTAATTTTTTCTCCAACAGAAAATTTTCTGGACTTATTATAAACTTCCCTGACCAATGAATCTTTAATTAATGGGTTTTCATCAGTACCAACAGCAAGTTCTGTCATAAATTTTTTAATCTGCTGAAAAGTGCCGTTGTCTTCAGAAAATTTTGCCATTGCCTTATTGTATATTTCTGTCAGAGTCATTGATTTATGAAGATCATTTTTTTCATTTTGTAACTTTTTAAATTGTCTGCATTCGGGTATATGTTCCTTTTGTAAATCTTCGGAAACTGAACTGTTCTCAATTTTAACTAAATAACGTGCTTGACAAGAATGATCGATGCAACGGTAGTAACGTTCAATATTATTTGAATTAATAATATTTGTATGATCATGCGAATAAAGCATATCTTTGCGAACAATTGTATCAGGATATTTTCCAGTAACTGCGGGAATATTTTTAACTGCAATATAACTAAAATATCTTCTGACAGCTTTAGATTCATTTTCGGCGTATTTAATATTAAAATATTGAAGAACTTGTTTGATTATATTCGTTTTTTCATCTCTCGATGTTGATTTTTGGTATTTATCAGATTGTTCCCTGATAAATATTTTATTTTCGTCTGTAAAGTTTGCTCTTTTTTGATTAAATATAGATGATTTTCCCATTAAAAAATGAAATGATGCAAAATTTACGAAAACCGTTCGAAAATTGAATCAAAAATGAAAAGTAATACTTAAATGAGGAATTCTTTGAGATATTGGTCTTAGATTGAATGTAGCGTCATTCTTATATAGAATATATATTCATATCATCGGAAATATGATAAAAAGCATATAATAAATGTCAAAAAAGTGAACAAATAAGCAAAGATATTTTTTAAAAAACAATGAAAAGTAATACTTAAATGAGGAATTCTTTGAGATATTGGTCTTAGATTGAATGTAGCGTCATTCTTATATAGAATATATATTCATATCATCGGAAATATGATAAAAAGCATATAATAAATGTCAAAAAAGTGAACAAATAAGCAAAGATATTTTTTAAAAAACAATGAAAAGTAATACTTAAATGAGGAATTCTTTGAGATATTGGTCTTAGATTGAATGTAGCGTCACAAATTTCACAAATATAATTTACTATACAATTTTATTCATTTTTTTAAAATGGCTGACGACAGTCTGTATCAACTAACTCAACTAGTCAAGCATAATGATTATTCTTCGGATTCATTAAATCAACTTTATCAATGCATAAGTACAATGACAGAAAGATCAATTGGATGCTTGAATTGGGATAAATTTTTCAAAAAAATCACAGTGACTGATGAAGTTCTTTTACATTTTTTAGCATCCGTTTTAAACATTGAAAAGATATCAGAATGTTTCAAGGATTCTATTTTTTATCACAATATTAATCTTGAAAAATTCAGTAATTTAACTGAAACAGAACAACAAACAATTTTAAATTCCTACAAAGCGGATAAATTTACATATTACATAATGTGCTCACAAATTGTAAAATCAAACTGGAACAATTTATCCCAAACTTTAGTTAATATTGCAAATCAATATTTGCCATTTTTAGATGAAGAAAAGCAAATATATATATTTACTGAAATAACTGGCAATTATCAAAATTTTGAAATTTCAGTTGCAAACTTGTTACTTTTTTATGAAAACAATGAAGAAAAATTAAGCAACTGTTTTAATTTAACATTGTTCCAGCAAATTTATTCCAAAAATGGAATCGAGCAAATGATATTTTTTGCTGCAAATACAATTTGTTGCAATAACACTTCTATCAATTTTTACAATCTCCTTGAAATTGAAGAAATGAATCCATTTGATTTTTTTTATTTCTCAATTCAATATAAAGAGATATTAAATTGCGATGATTTTCCAAAAGTTACAGAACTAATCACAGGTTTAATCTCAGCTTCAAATATTAATGCTATTATGCGAATTTGCCAAAAAATTTTGGATAAAATTACATTTTATAAATGTAATTATTGCCATATTACCTCAATATGGAATTTTATCACAAATGCAGCAATAATTCTTCCTGATGAAGATTTATTAATCAAATTATTAAAATTCATAGAAAAAACAGAAAAAGCAACAGATGAATTATTCGAACCGGAGAATGATTTGGGTTTCTATGAATATTTAAATTCGATTTTCTCAGATATTACAAGTAGTATATGTTGAAGGGTTGTGTGACTTTTTTTTGTTACATCTATATATAGACGATGCATTAAAATATATTTATTTATTTATAAATCATTAAAAAATTAACATTAATTTTAAAATAATTTATTTTTTTATCTTTTATAAAAGAAGCTATATATAGATGATGTCAGATATTCCGCGATTAATTAAACATCATTTAAATCCTGAATGGGTTAAACTTCAATTTAAAAATGAAGATTGTGAATTATTAAATGAATATGAAAGCCAAAATAAGCTAATGAGGTATAAATATAATGATAAAGAATATTTAATTTCATGGAATCAATGGAGTCATAATCAAAGACCTCATAAACGAGAAGAAGAGATTGAAAATAATGAAATGGAAATCATTGATGACATTAAAGAGGATGGAATTCCTAAATTTTGTAGAAAAACCTTTAGAACTAAGTTAGGAGCATATAAACGTAGAGTATTAAATCCTGAATACATAAAACATTTATTTAAAAAGGAAGACTGCGAATTATTAAACGCTAATGAATATGAAAATGCTAAATCAAAACTGAGGTATAAATATATTGGAAGTGATGAAAGGTGTAAAGATAAAGATAAAGTTTATTCGGTTTCATATAATAACTGGCACACGTTAGGGATAAGAAAACATTTAGGAGATTATGGTAAAAGTTCCGAATTCTTTAAATCTAGTATGTGCGACATTATTAAATAAATTAGTAATAATTATTTTCATGAATGAAAGATTCACTACCATAATGAAATAAAAAATAAAAAAATAAACTTTAAAAATTCATGTCTTACATTTATGAATAATTTATTTTTTTTAATTCGTAAGAAAATGAGTGGATCAAGATTCGTAACCGTCAATCAATTAATGGATGCTCTTTCACCAATTCTTGAAAATGTTAAACAAGTAGATGTTTATTTCGATGATTATGTAGAAAGTTTATATTATAAAGGTAAACATAATATTAAACCCATTGCTTTTGCATTTGATAATAAATTAATTGAAAATGCAAAAATTTGGGAATTAATTCCAGATATTGAATATATAACGAATATAACTAATAAATAGTTCAAACGAATTCCAACCACAAAAGTTCTTTGTAAATTAATGATCAAAACCGAGGCCAAAGAATTTCATGAATTTACATATCATCCAAATAAAGTTTCAGACTAGAAAATGAAAAACTTCAGAAAAAATTAAACGATAGACTTTCAAATGATCGTATTGAAAAAATAAATAAACTAGCAGAAGTTGCATTTAATAATGAAATATTTGATGAATATAACCTTGAACTCAGTGATGGGCTTTAAGGACCCAGGCTCAACGAGTCATGATTTATGAAATCAATTATTTGATTCATTCGCTCTTCAATAATTTCTATTCTTTTTGTTAAATCATCTATTTTCATTAATGAGGTGATTCTTGATTGAGGAATAGATTTCAAACTAACCACTCCTTTTATTTTTGAAATTTTGAATCCATCAACTTTAAACATTTTATTCAATTTACATGTTGTCAATTCTTCAAATAATTTTTTATTATTAGCATAATAGTCATTAAATTCTTCAACAGATGAAAAAATTTTTATTTCAGTAATTGGTTTAACAACGTTTATTTTTTGTTGAACATTTTCACTTTCATTTATTTCTTCCTCCTCTGTTTCATTCATTTTTAAAATCGGTTTCATTTATCATTAAATAAAAATTAGAATATAAGTGATGAAATATATTTTTTAATTAATATTAAATCAGAAATGGCGGCAGGATTCTTTAAAAAATTATGGGAAGGAATTAAGAAAGCTGCGAGTTGGGTTCATAAAAATATTATTAAACCCGTTGCAAACTTTTTGGCACCAGTAGCGAAAACGGCAGGAACTATCATAGGTGGAGTATTAGGTACTAAAGCAGGTAATCCGGCAATGGGAGCACAAGCAGGTAACGCAATTGGTGGAATAGCTGAAGGAATACTTAATAAAATAGGAGGTAGATAGTGGAAAAATAAATATTATTTTTATCTTAGTATCGGTTGAAGTCTTTGATAAACTTTTTCTCCTTTATTTAATATTTCTCTTATTGGGGCGGCTTTTGGCGTTATTGATTCAGCAACGTCACTAATTGCTTCTTTATTCTTAAATATCCAATTTGCTCCTTTCTTCATTGTTTCCCAAACTTTATGCGCTCCTCTTTTTACTCTATCCCATAATTTTTTAAAGAATCCTGCAGCCATAGTTGATTATTTCATTAAAATTAAAAATTCATTTTCATTTTTTAATTTTGATTTTTTATTTATTAATAAATGACGACTAACTATTTGGTGCCAAACACTAAACCGATTAATGGAAATGTGTTTCATTCATTCGAAAAGATAAATGAAATATTCGCAAAGAATGACGGTAGAAGATATTATAGAGAACTTGAAAGTTCATGCTATGACTCTGATGCTCCATATTTTGATGATAAACAAACTCATTTAAGAATTACAAATCCGGCTCATGATGTGAACCAATTAGGTGACACATATATTAAACGCAAAGTTAAAGCAACTCTAGTTTCAAATAAAGCTTTCACATGTGATGCCGCTTTTAAATGCATGCGTTTATTCGTTGGTTACAAATCATCAAATCAAAGCTTTAAACAACTAGAAGTAGAAACTGAAAGAGGTGATGCTGGTTATCTTCAGATGGATTGTGCCCGTGAATCTTTCGCATTTGCAACATATAAACCAAAATCAGAAAGGAAAGTTAAAAAGTTTGTTCATTCGTTATATAATAATGTTCAAAAATATGATAACTCAGTATGTGGTAAATATATTGACCCTTCAGAAGTTTTCAAGAGAGCAAATGAAGAAGTTGATGTCACTTTTGATATGATTATTCCGGTAAATGATTTGTTAGCATTTCAGGCGTTCGATGATTATCCTAAATCATTTGGTGAAATCATTCTTAAATATTATGTTTTCAGGGATACTTTAGTATTTTGTCAGGTTGACCCGTTAAGAGTTGCTGATTTACAAAATTACGTTTATGAAAAGATAACTGATGAAAATTATGAAAAGATTATGAATCATGTTTATAAATATGATCGCAAATTCCAACAAATCGGACTTCCTGCCAAATTAATTACAAGCTTAGCCGCTACATCTGCTGACGCAACAGTTGATAACGTTATTATTTCATGCACAAAGATGGAAGTTTTAGAGGATAAATGCATTACACCAGGATACGGTTTAATTGAAGAATCAGTTAAAGCAATACCACGTTTATTTAGTAAGGAAGATCCATTCATGATTCCAGCTCAACATATTGACGTTCGTTCACTAAATGGAGGTTGCATCAATCCTGAAGGTATCAGCTCAGATTTCTCATACGCTCTTCATAATGTTACAGATGTTGTGTTAACATTTCCGAAGAATGCAATGCAAAGAACGGTTTTAGAAAATCCAATGCTTCGAGGTCTTCAGGTCACTATAGATTCCAGAAACTTCCCCGATCAAGCGATGACCACAGTGGGTGACATATTCTTTACACGTATGCTTCAAGCTTCTGATTTAGATGGAGTGAATGAATGCACAGAAGAATACGAGGACTCATTAACTAGACCACTGAATGATGATGATGGCACGCCATTAGCTAGAACATGGAAAGACCAAACTTCATTCTTATGCACTATTCCAGTTCAACGTGATGGAGCGGGTATATTCTTTGATGGATTAGAAACTTTCAACTCACAAGTTACAGTACAAGTGAAAGCTTATCCAATCATTCAGGGTGAAAATGACACTTACTGTTCAAAGGTGACAAATCCTCCTCAGGTTTGGTTTACTAGGACTACGTATTGGACATGGACACCGGACGAAGGTTTGAAATATCATCCAACAGGTACACCACCACAGTATAGAAGTTCATATGATGAAATATTGATGAATAGAAATGTTTAAAATTATAAATTTATTTTTGATTAAATGGATTTAAATTCATCCACCCCTTATGAAGAATTAGCAGGAGTATATAATACATACGTAGATGATATGATTAATGAAGCATTGAGTGATAATAGAAATGCTCTATCTAAGGAAAAATTAATGAAAATTCCATATTCTGAATGTTACTTAAATTCAATCACTGCAGCAATTGGTAAACAAAATAAAGGTAAAACATTAACGATATTAAAACAAATTATCATTATTGCTAACACTTCCCCCCATTCACATGTGTTAATTTATATCAACCGTTCAGGTTCACCTTCAGATGATACATTTGAATCTTTAAAGCATTTAATCAAAATTCCAATTATTTATTTATCACAAGAAGAAGCAGAAGATTATTTAAAAAACTTTTTAATGTATAAAGAATTATATAATACAATCAAGAAGCAAGGATTAGAGGATAAAATTATTGATAAACAACGAGATGAATTATTTGAAACACTTTCTATTTCAAATTTTGATAGAGAATTTTTACATTCACTCATTTTTCTAGATGATGCAGTGAAATCAAAACTAATAACAAATGAGAAATCATATTTTAATCAGTTATTAACTCAATGTCGACACATTCAGTGTTCATTCTTTATGGCTGTTCAATACTTCAAAGCATTAAGCACAAACATTAAATCAAACCTGTCCACCCTTTTCATTTTCAGTGGTTTTAGTCGTCAACAGTTGAACGTTATGCTTTATCAAGTGAATTTACCAATGAGCATTAATGAACTTTACACACAATATCAGCAATTAGGTGAACATGGAAAAATAATAGTTGATTTAAATAAAGGTTCCATTAAATTTGATTAACTTTTTATAATTAATTTTTATTTTTTATTTATAATTAAACATGACAGAAATAGCAAATCTTCTACAGGTTCCATTAAAACAAGGGACAAACAAAAAGGGTGCATATAATAGAACTATGAAAGTTCCAGACGGAATGAAAGAATTAGTCCACATTGTTGCCGGTCTTCAAAAGGATGTTAAACAAATGAGAAACGTTTTAACATTACCAGAAGCTCAAGCATATGCCAAACGTCATGGTCCAAATTGGGAAGCACACGAAGCAGACATTATGGGTCCAAATGGAAAACCTGATGGTATAAATGAAGTTTTCGTTACTGATGGTCAAGGTAATATTAAAGTCATAAATGGTTACAAATTAACTATAACTGATTATCCTAAACGTAAAGCATATAATGAACGTTATCCTATGCAATTTGATGAAAATGGAAAAGCTGTTAAACAATACATTGGAGAAGGTGAAAATGGTCCAATTAATTCATACCGTTATAATCCATATTCTTATTTCAATGAAGAATTAAATGCTGTTGAAGAGGGACCGGATGGATTACCACGATATGTTAATCAGTTTGATGGTCAATATGCAAATTTGAGACCTGAAATTCCAGCTAAGAAATTCTCTAAAGTTGCTTTATTCGATCCAGTGTTCAATGAACAGAAAGAAGCAATGAAAGCAGAATTTAAACCAATTCAAGTGGCAAGAATTTCTTCATCTTCACTTTCAGAAGCGTTCAAGGAATTGATAAAGAAACCACTTTATTCTCAACAAGGTTATAACTTTGATTTAATTAAAGAAAGTGATAGACGTAAATTAGAAAAATCAGATGGTTTTAAGAATGCATGTAATGAAATGATTAAAGATATTGTAAATGATAAAATAAGACTGGAAGAAACTCAAAGCACTATCAATAACATAATTGGTGTAGTTACAAAGAAAGTATAAGCAAACAAGGATGAACCTTGGATATTACCGTAACAACTAAATAAAACTTTAAATATATTTTTCTTTTTTTTATTCAATTATAAATGAGAAGACGTTTCACAAGTCAAAAGAACACAAACGCAAAAGCAGAGATTACGGTTGGTTATAACGTAAATGATGATAAATCACGAATTATTCAAAATGTTAAAGTTAATGTTAGCCCCGAATTAACAAGGTCAGCAACTCAACCAAATTTATTAACTCGTGACTTACCGAAAAAGGAGGAGGAGCAAAATAAAGAAGATGGAGACCCAATCATTTTATCTGAACCCGGTAAAGAACCTGTTGAAATTCCCACTTATCCAACATACCCCCCGCCTCTTTCATCAAACATCGAGAACCCAGGAATCTACGATTCCAGTCGCAATGCGCCATATAAAATAGACATTAATTCTGAATTAATGAAAATTTACCGTGATATAATAATTAATAATTATGATTCAATAATAAATTTAATTGACCAATCTGGTTTAATTATTTTACCTTATGAATCATTAATTCACATTATCGCCATTCTTTGTGATGTTCAAGATTCAGACGTTAAGATTCAATTTTTCATAGATGATGAGGTTTCATGCTGCGGAACAGTTGCAAAAATAAATCCTATAAAGGATATTAGCACAATTAAGATATCAAAGAACGGAACAACAACTGAACTTCATTTAACATATAATGATATTTATAATAAAATAGTTGATGAATATAAAATATCACTTGAAAAATTCTTTGTTAAGGCTATTTAATATTCAAGCATTAACATTATCGAATAATAATCCTTTGAATCATAATCAATAATAATTGACCTTTCACCGGTTTCTATCGTTTGTTTTATTTCTTTTTGTTCCCCACTATCCGGATCGGTCATTGTAATTGTTTTTGTTATAGTATCAGCTTTATCTTTAACTTCAATCTTTTTTCCATCAGGATATTTAAATCAAAATTCCAAAAATTCGATATTGTCAATCTGTTCATATTTTAATCTATCAATTACATTTTTAATACCATCTGAAAATCTTATGAAATGGTCATTATATGGGTTTGATTGAACTAAATTTGAATGAAGTGAAATATAACCCGTTGATGAATATGACATTGACTCATATTTTCTGAAACACTAAAATTTATAACATGAATGAATTTCTTATTCGTTGAATTTATGAATTCTTGAGGTAATCTTATTCTAGTTTTATTTATCACTGGAAAATAACGCTTTACCATATTTTTAATCGTAATAAAAATGTCAATTATCAATATTATTTCGAATAATAGTTGTGAATTAAATTTAACAGTTAGCGGAATTTATAATGTTACTCTCGTTTCTGTGAGTGGTAAATTTAATCCCATTCTTTTAGACCCTTCAGATTATATATCATTTATTAAAGATGACCATGAAAAAACGTATGATATGTATATAAATAATGTGATAGTGAAATGGGATATTAACACGATTTTAAGTTATTTAAATGAATCATTTATCGTATGGTATGAAGAAAATTTTAAATCAAAGCCTGATAAACTTTTTGAACTTGATGAAATAAATAACCTTATTAAATTTCCACTGAAAATTAAATTTTGTACTCCTCATTTTCGTTCATTGTTGGGGATATTAAATTTTGAAAAAGATGTTGGGGATGTTTTTGTATTCTGACACTGGTTCCAATTTCATTTTAATCAAATGTGATAAAGTTAATACCCCAATGAGATTTTCACATCAAACATTAGACCCTAACTCTTACCCATCAATACAAAACATTTTATCCATCAACTTAAACACATTTTCTTTATCATATCCGTTTCAATTATCCGGGAATTCATTTATTCTTCATTCAAAAGATTTATCAAATATTAAATTTAGAGTAACTGACCTATTTGATTGTGATTTAGAATTTATGAATGAAATATTATGGCAATTTCAAATAGAGAAAATAGCTGATGAGATAACGGATTAAATATTTATTTTTAAATTGTAATAAATGATTAAACAACAGCAACCACAGCAACTTAAGGCGCAAAGCACCCAGGTCCCTCAGACCATTACATACGCCATATATGCATATAATTCAAAGACGGCAGAACAAACGCAAAGGTTGAAATATGGAGATTTGGAGATAGTATTGAAAAATGAACATTTCGAATTCGTTTGCAAAGGTGGTGCGTGATATCAAATATAAAAGAAATTTTATTTATGAATTCAAAAATTAAAGGTATAACGGATGATATAACATCAATTCCACCAGAAGAACAGAGATATTACGCATTAAATGCATTTCCTAAAGTTTTGAAGATTGGAAGATTTAATTTAAATGAGGAATTCATAGAAGGTTTCCTAAATGACATAATGAAGAAAGCAGATAAGGAATATGTGGATGAAAAAGATAAAGAAATTAAAGAAATGGTTGAATGGTATCATGAATGGACATCGAAGATTTTTAAAACTAAAGCTGATACAGGATGGGTTTCAGGATGTTTAGACCTTAAAGCGGATAAGGAATATGTTAACGATGAGTTAGAGAAGAAAGCGGATAAGGAATATGTGGCTAGTGAATTAAATAAGAAGGCAAATTTGGTTTACGTTGATGAAAAAGATAAAGAAATTAAAGAAATGGTTGAATGGTATCATGAATGGACATCGAAGATTTTTAAAACTAAAGCTGATACAGGATGGGTTTCAGGATGTTTAGACCTTAAAGCGGATAAGGAATATGTTAACGATGAGTTAGAGAAGAAAGCGGATAAGGAATATGTTAACGATGAGTTAGAGAAGAAGGCGGATAAGGAATATGTTAACGAAATATACCAAAGTTTGATAGGAACAACAAAAAATATTGAAACTATTGTTGGTGACTTTTCTGTCAATGAAGAAAATAAATATTTTAGATGGCAGTTTATACAGTCCTTAAAAAATGGTACACGGTGTAAACTCATTCCGAAAAATAACAATGAAATGTATGTAGGCTATATAAAGAATAATGGTACACAAGTTAAAGTTCCATTAGACAACAACTGTTACTTAAACTTATATGGAGACGAACAAAAGAAATATTTAAGAGTTTATGAAATGGCAGATATGACATTGCCTGACCCAGCTCCAGCACCATATTATTATGACTATGGAGATGATGTCAGAACACCACATGTAGATGAACAAAAGCTAACATTATATTTAGATTATTATAGATATAAAAGATATAATGCAATAGAAAAAACGAGAATAGTATATTATTATACAGATGACAGAAATAAATATTATAGTCAAGATTTTACCTACCCTGAAAACATAAGATTATATTATAAAAAATATTCTGACACAAACCAGAAGAAACCTGAAATAGTTACACTATATCTTAAGTTCAAAAGAGACAATCCTATAATATCTCATATGTTTGATTTAATGAACCCAGTAGGTTCTATTTATACATCTATGGATGCAAGAGGTCCTCAAGTAATGTTTGGTGTTGGTGCATGGGAACAAATAGTTGACAGGTTTTTGTATTGTGCAAACTCTTCAAAGGAAACAGGTGGAAGTAAAACGATTTCAGGTGAAAATTTACCTGCACACAGTCACTACATAGATTTAAGCACATCTCAAGCAGGTTGGCATAAGCATAGATATTGGGATTGGTCAGGAATGACAAAAGGTAAAGGATATGATGTTAAAGATGATGTTAAGTTTGCTATAAATTGTTACTGGAGTGACACTCAGGGAGAAGGAAACCATACACATTTCGTTTCAGGATATACACAAACAACGGGACAAGGTAAAGAATACATGCCACCATTTATGACTGTATTCGCATGGTATAGAGTTCAATGAATGTGCTTGACCCAAAGGTCTGGGCTTACCGAATGAACTAAATATATTTTATGTTTGTAATTAATTAGGTAATGAAGTAATGGATGAACTGCAGAAAAGAAGTTAAAAGCTTGGGGTCGTTTTGTACAAAAATATTGTGAGTAAATGATTTAGGTTATTCAATAATTAATTATTTTTGAAGAACTGAAGGGGTCACCAGGTCATTTAACTTCTCTGAAAAAATGAGACAACATGACATTTTGACAACATCATGGGTTATTCAATAATTAATTATTTTTGAAGAACTGAAGGGGTCACCAGGTCACCAGGTCACCAGGTCATTTAACTTCTCTGAAAAAATGAGACAACATGACATTTTGACAACATTTACGAAAATTTGATGCAGTCCAAAAATAAAGTTAGTTTTAAAATTATTTTTATTTTTTTATTCCTATATAAATGACAGCAACAAACAACAGCAACAGCAACTTTATCATTTCTGATGAACAAGTTATTGATTCATTAGCTGAGGAATTAGTTGTGGCAGAAACTAAAACCCTCAACGAAAGAATTGGTGAAAACAAGATTGATTTACATAACTACCTCAAACATGATGGAGGAAGAGGAAGGAAAACTGGTACAGCTTTATTAGTAAATAAAATTTCAAATTTAACGATTATAGATGTTGATATCAATAAATCGTACAATGATGAACTTAAAGAAACAGTTAGAAAAGACATTTTATCAAAACTTTCGGATAAAGATGTTATCGTTAAAACCGCTTCAGGAGGTCTTCACATTTATTGCAACACTAATTTCTTCTATTCAGTTTCGAACAGAATGATTAAATGTTATTCCTGCAATGATTATGATATCGATATCATGACTTCTATTGATGATTCAAAGCGTTCATTAGTAGTTATGGCTGATTCAAGAGTTCGCAAGAATGCATCAGAACCAATCAATACATACTCATTCATTCGTGGAAGTTATGATTCAACATTAACTAGAACAGTGAATGATATATTAAATGATTTGAATATTAAGGTAAGAGTTGAACAGAAGAATGAAGAAATAAAGACTATCATGAATGAAAACAAAGATGTAAACATTGACGATAAACTTGCCCAGAGCATAGTTGATGGCATTAGTGATTTTGAAGTACATAATGATGGTGGAAACATGAATTTAGAAAAAGAAATAACATTGTTCACACTGTTTCAAGCTATTAATTCGTTACCTAATCATTTAATTAATGAAGCATACGATAACGTTTATAACTTCTGCAGTTTAACAGAAAATGCAAAAAGTAATTTTGAAAAAGCACGTAGTAGATATGCACATTTAATGACTTCTCCATTTGTTTTAGTGAAGATTCTAAAACTTTATCAAAAGGAATATTATGATGAATATGTTTTACCTTTATTACGTAAGCCAAAAATAACATTTGATATCAAACTTGATGACTCGTTTTTGATAACAGATATTAGACGCAAGGCTGAAAATCATCAGTATAAAAACAGTTCTGAAGTAATTGAGGATTTATCACGTGTAATCCGTTTTGTAGATTGTGGAAATAAATATTTCATTCAAAAGGACTATAATATCAACGACAAAATGAATCAAATATCATTCGTTCTTCAATCAAACATGAAAGAGTCACTCAAAATGATTAAATTATTTAAAGAAGAAGGTAAAACCATAACAGCATGGGATGTACTACTAAATCAATTGTCTTCATTAACCGTTAAGGGTGTTTGCTTTAAATCTGATTCTCCAGATGTTTTCTCAACGTTTCAGGGTTATAAATACAACATTCTTGAAAAGCCTGATTACTCAAAAATTGAGATGTTTATGAATTTCATTAAAGAAGCCATTTGTGATAATAACGATGAAGTGTATAAATACCTTCTCGGCTGGATTGCATCAATGATTCAACATCCTGGAATCAAGAATGAAACAGCAATTATTTTGAAAGGACTTCAGGGAACAGGTAAAAACAGATTCACAGACATTATTTCTGAACTCCTCGCCGGTTATTCATGTAAAAACATTACTGAAATAAGTGAGCTAACGGGTAATTTCAACTCAGTAGTTGAAAATAAAATGTTTCTTGTACTTAATGAACTCAAGAACGTAGGTGAAGACAGACTTGCAAACTTCAACGCTTTGAAATCAATTATTACGGATAATGAGATTAGAATTAATGAAAAGAATCAACCCAGAAGAACTGCTCAGAATGTTGCAAACTTCATTTTCGTAACTAACAACGTCTACCCTGTCAAAATTGAAGTTGGAGACAGAAGATACGTAGTTTTAAGAGTTAATGGTAAATTCAAGGGTCAATTTGATTACTTCAAGAATTTAATGGATTCATGCACTAAGGAATTTTATGATAACCTTTTAACATATTTTATGCAATATGACCTTTCATCATTTAATGTACGAATCATACCGATGACTGAAGCCAAACAAGATTTAATCGAGTTATCAACAAATCCTTTAGATGAATGGATAAATACACATTATGATGAATTGTGTGCAGGTATGACATGTAAAAATGCTCTATTCTGCAAACCATCAGACATGAAAGACAAGAATTTCCAAATGAGCATTAAGGATAAATGTGAAAGGAAACAAAGAAAAATAGATGGTAAACAGACATGGTATTATGTTTTGAAAGAAGAAATGAAAGGATTATATAAACAGGTTGAACCAAACGATAATGAGGATTCATTTACTGACGATGAAATACCTGTAAATGAAGCTTTATAAAGTATGATTGGAATTTATTTTTGCCTTCCTCCTGTGATGTTGTCAAAATGTCATGTTGTCTCATTTTTTCAGAGAAGTTAAATGACCTGGTGACCTGGTGACCTGGTGACCCCTTCAGTCTTCAAAAATAATTAATTATTGAATAACCCATGATGTTGTCAAAATGTCATGTTGTCTCATTTTTTCAGAGAAGTTAAATGACCTGGTGACCTGGTGACCTGGTGACCCCTTCAGTTCTTCAAAAATAAGTCATAACTGCCTTCCCCCTGTGATGTTGTCAAAATGTCATGTTGTCTCATTTTTTCAGAGAAGTTAAATGACCTGGTGACCTGGTGACCTGGTGACCCCTTCAGTTCTTCAAAAATAAGTCATAACTGCCTTCCCCTGTGATGTTGTCAAAATGTCATGTTGTCTCATTTTTTCAGAGAAGTTAAATGACCTGGTGACCTGGTGACCTGGTGACCCCTTCAGTTCTTCAAAAATAATTAATTATTGAATAACCCATGATGTTGTCAAAATGTCATGTTGTCTCATTTTTTCAGAGAAGTTAAATGACCTGGTGACCTGGTGACCTGGTGACCCCTTCAGTTCTTCAAAAATAATTAATTATTGAATAACCCATGATGTTGTCAAAATGTCATGTTGTCTCATTTTTTCAGAGAAGTTAAATGACCTGGTGACCTGGTGACCTGGTGACCCCTTCAGTTCTTCAAAAATAATTAATTATTGAATAACCCATGATGTTGTCAAAATGTCATGTTGTCTCATTTTTTCAGAGAAGTTAAATGACCTGGTGACCTGGTGACCTGGTGACCCCTTCAGTTCTTCAAAAATAATTAATTATTGAATAACCCATGATGTTGTCAAAATGTCATGTTGTCTCATTTTTTCAGAGAAGTTAAATGACCTGGTGACCTGGTGACCTGGTGACCCCTTCAGTTCTTCAAAAATAAGTCATAACTGCCTTCCCCCTGTGATGTTGTCAAAATGTCATGTTGTCTCATTTTTTCAGAGAAGTTAAATGACCTGGTGACCTGGTGACCTGGTGACCCCTTCAGTTCTTCAAAAATAAGTCATAACTGCCTTCCCCCTGTGATGTTGTCAAAATGTCATGTTGTCTCATTTTTTCAGAGAAGTTAAATGACCTGGTGACCTGGTGACCTGGTGACCCCTTCAGTTCTTCAAAAATAATTAATTATTGAATAACCCATGATGTTGTCAAAATGTCATGTTGTCTCATTTTTTCAGAGAAGTTAAATGACCTGGTGACCTGGTGACCTGGTGACCCCTTCAGTTCTTCAAAAATAATTAATTATTGAATAACCCATGATGTTGTCAAAATGTCATGTTGTCTCATTTTTTCAGAGAAGTTAAATGACCTGGTGACCTGGTGACCTGGTGACCCCTTCAGTTCTTCAAAAATAATTAATTATTGAATAACCCATGATGTTGTCAAAATGTCATGTTGTCACAAACTTTAGAACGGCATAATTTAAATTTTTATTTTTATCATAAATGGATACCCCACAAGCTCAAAATTTACCACGAATCATAACAAGGGAGGAAACGATAAAAATGATGCGAGAACTTGCTAAAAATAACAAACCACTAAAACTGAGAAAATGTGGTTATGCAGTAATGATGGAAAGAAGAACCTAGAAGGGTTCGGGAAGAGGAATAAAAATTAAATTTGGATTGAGTTTAAAAATTCATCTTTATTAAATTCATCTCTTCCAATCAATTTATTTATTCTATTAAATTCTTTTATTTTTGCTTCACTCAGTTTAAGGATTGAACGGTAAGTTTCTAATTTTTCGATTATTTCTTTCCTCTCTTCATCGTTTTCAGTTCCATTAGTTTTATGGGCATCAACCCCACCGCATTGCGGCTTCTTTTTGTAATAGCATATTTTTGATTTAATTCTGTTTAGTTTCTTTTTATATTCATTGTCAGGACTCTTGGCTGCTTTGTTGTCACTCATTTCTTACGAAATAAAAAAAATTAAATATTATTTAAATATAATGGAGTAATAAAATAAATCGGAATTTCTATTAATTTATTGTCAACTTCAACTAATGCATTGCCGTTAATATATCTAACAAATTCAGCTATTGTGTCAAATCTTCGTCTTCTTTTTGTCATTGATTTATCAGTTTTTCCATAATCGAGATGAATCAAAACTTTATCCCCTTGTTTAAAATTCATGAGCCCCGAATTAATTTGTTCACGTTTAACATCATTTAACCTTTCCATTTGCTTTCTAATATATTCCCATTCTTTTGAAATATCATTTTTCATTTCCACTGGTTTCATGTTTATAGTTCTATGCCATGTATTATTATAATAATATACTAACTGCTGTATGATGGAGTCATGATTTCCATCCCAGTATATCTGACCGTTAACCCCTAACGCATCTCTAAGAGTTCTCATTACCGCATCAACTATTTTATTATGAAACGTATATGGAGAGGATGAAAAGAAAAAATTAATTTGTGGGAAATAATGAGTCATAGTTGCCTGAAATCCTTTATCGCCATCACCCCTGATATTATCTACTCTTTCATGATCTAGTAAGTATTGAATAGCTCTTCTTGTTTCCTGTTCTGTTTTCCCTTTCACCGGAATGCAATATAAATATCTAGTGTTAATGTTAATGGCAAATAAATAAGTAACGTTTCCTTTTGAATATTCCAGATGATCGATTTCGTATGAATATGGATATGGAGCAAATGAAGGGCGACTAAATTTTTCCTTTAACGGTTGAATTTTTGGGTCAGTTGGTTTATTTAATATCTTGAAACCCTTTTTAAAATCTTTTTGTTTCTTTAATGTTTGAAATGGATATAATAAAGTGAATGATGAAGGATTAACTGAAGGAGGAGGCGGTACTGTCGTTGGAGGTTTTGGTGTTGCAAGTGGTTTAATTTTATCTGCTTTGATTTTGGAATTCATTCCCCCCTTCATTAATTCTGGATGTATTCTATTCATTTGTTTTAAATATGCTGTATATAAAGGTTTGATATACTTTCCCGCTTCGAGTTTATGTTGAAGGATGAATTCCAAAAGTTGATCTTCATTTAAAAGTCGGGCTGAATATGGTTTAACTAATGAATCATAAATTAAAGCTTGTGCTTCATTTATGGTCTGAAGGACCTGGGTGTTTTGTTCCTTTAGCTGTTGAACATTTGCTACTTTAGACCTCGGCTTTGGTTTTTGTGGCTCAGGATTATATAAATTATATAATTCATCAATATCTTCTTCTGTTAATACTTTATTTTTGAAATCTTTCAACTGTTTAAGTTGTGATTTAGTTTTTCCCTTTGTATATTCATTATTTTTAATTTTGTCTTTAATTTCAGAAATTATTTTATTATGATATTTCAAAATTTCATTTTTATAATATGGATAATAATATTCCATATCATCACCCGTTATATTGTTATTATGTTTTTGGAGATATGATTTTAATTCATAATAATTAAGAAAATTTTGATTAAGTACTAAATCATCAATTAAAATTTTTAAATCTACGTTATCCATTTATATAAAAATAAAATCAATGTTTTAAGGGTGCCCACCTCTTTGAATCATAGTATCAAAACCATTATTTACATATTGAATCCCATCATTAACGGTTCCTTCTTCTAAAACGGTATCAAATGGTGGCGGTTGTTGTTGCTGTTGATGTTGTGATGGGATTTAAAAAAATCGTTGTGGTTGATTATTTGGAATCTGAAAGTTAAAACCATTTGGTATAAATCGATTTGGTTCCTTTTGTCTCTTCTGTGGCATTTTATTAAAAATAAAATTTTAAATTGTATTAAATAAATGGCATACAACATCCATTTTCACAACATACAGCCTTAGTGTGTGCTCCTGTTAATGCAGTCTTACCAATTGTTAAGCGAGTCATTGACCCGTTTTTAAGTTGTAAATTAATATTCTGACCATCAAATATCAATTTATCATTTATTATATCCAAATAATTTTTGGGTGTTAATTGTTTATTTTGTCGTAAACTAACACCTTTCATTTTTTGTGCAATCTTTTTAAAATCACTTCCATCAATTGAACCGTTGAATGATGTATAACACTTAGGACATAAAGCAACCATGTTATCACCTTGTTTCTCAATTGCTAAACCCAATAACTTCTTCTCATGTGCTTTTTCTTCAGCTTTATTCTTTAATTTAGGTTTAAATTTCTCATCAAAACAGAAGAAATCAAATGGTGCGAATTTGAAAATGTTTTTATCATAAAATTGTTTATCAGTAACAATTGCTTGAAATGCTTGAGTGTTAGGAAGATTTGGGTCGCCAGCGATTGCCCAATAAGATGAATCAGTATCACCTTCAATGAAATGAAAACGATTAACATTCATGCATTTATACATAAAATCATAAATGAAAACCAAATACCAGTATTTAGCATTATCTAAAGTGAAGAATGCCTCTTGTAAACATGTATCACATCTATAAAATCTATCTTTAAGCATCACTTGATATGTATCCTCACCTATTTCTCTTATGTTTTTAAACTTATTTGACATACATGCAACGCGTGCCTTCTGTGCATTCATTATTTTAGTCTTTGCGTAATTTTGTGTATTCATTGCATCGTAACCATATGATCCATTAAGTGAAATCTTGCAAAATAAACTTTTTCCTTTATTTCCTTCTAATTCAGCCTTTTGTCTTTCGTTCATAAATTTGTTCGCAAATTCATTAAAACAAGTGTTTTTAGTAAATGTTAAAATTGATTGAATATCATCAATGATAAAATGAAATCTGTCTATTAGATACCAAAGATAATAAGAAGAAAATGGTTGATATTGGTTGTGTGTTGATGCTAACTGAGTTAATTTTCTCTGTTTCTGGTCAACCGGTAGATTGTTTGATTTCATGTAATTATACATAAAATTGCCAATTGTTTTTTCATCTGTGATAATATCTAAGTTTCTTATTATCGGTAAAAAGTTTATGTAATCATTAATGTATTTTTCATCAATGTGACCCTTTACTTCAGCCACGAATAAAGTATTTTTCTTTTTAATAATTCCCAATGCTTTTGCTTTCTTTGTTGCTGTATCACAAATGATAACACCATTCAATCTTCCCGGCATATACATTTTATGGTCAGTATATTAAATGAAATCATGAGGATTAGATGAAAATGATGAAGGATATAATGAATTAAAATCAACACCAACGAAATGAGTCATGATGTTGGAAGTGTCCTCATTTGATACAGTTTTAGTTTCTGGATTATATGAAAGTTTATTAATGCGTGTGATTCCTTTAAGATTTACTCTATGTTGAACATTTGATAGACCACCAGTAATTCCATTACGGAGAATGTGATAAGCTTCAACTGAATCTAAAGTCATTGGTAAATTATTTTTTAATGCATAATTTCTTAAATTGATTCTTAAACGTTGAACATCTTCATCTTTATTTGATTTTACGACATTGCAATAACAACACATTAACTGACAATTTTCTTTGGTATGTGGTTTTTCATTATCGATTCTATCCAATGTTGGTTTATTTGCATATGTAAACGCTTTACCACACATTTTGCATTTAGATGAAAGGATTAAATCGTGATAGTATTGAAAATCATCCATTGAAACATTATTTTTAGTATCTCTTTTTGCTTTTTCATCTTGTTTCTTATATGATTCAATTTTATATTTCCAATACTTTTTCGTTAATTCAAAACTTGATTCTATCTCTTCCTCATCATATTTTTCATTAGGATTAAAGTCTTTATATGCTAAAGCGTAACGAATCATTGAAGCATTCGATGATAAAGAAAGATTATGAAGCATGTCAATTTTATAAACAAATGTTTCTTCAATAATTTTATCAATTGGGTCAATCATAATTTCAACATCTTTATTACAATAATGAATAAAATATTCTAATCTATTCTTAAAGTTTTTAGCATCATTGAGATATATTTGATAATCACTATCTGATATAGTTTCTTGGGTTAATGCTGAATAAAATGAATCTTTCGTGAATGGTTCCTCTTTATATAATTCTTCTTCGTAATTTTCCCATGAGATGAATTGATAAGGGAAAAAGGATTTAACACGTGATTTATTGTTTCCGAAATCTTGAGTGAATTGGTCTAATGTCCCACCCGCTATATAATTTCTGATGTCAATAAATCTCAATTCATATGGAACGTTTGTTTTCTTTACAATGATTTGCTTAAATTGTAAAGATGAACCCAGCATTGATTTTATTTTCCATTTTGCAGTGTTTAAATCATGAAGAATTAAATTTAAATCAAACTTTCCCGAATTAAAACCTATGATATTCACTTTATTGAATTCCTCATTTAGAAGTTCTTTAAATGCTTTCTTCTGTTTTTCATTTAATGTTTGCGACTTCAATAATTCATTGTATTGACTCATATTTGATTCAACAACTAATGAACAGGTTGAAAATAAAAACTCAATCCAATCAGAAATAAAAGAATCACTCGAAGTTAAGCAAAAATTCCTCGTATATGTTTTATCATTTAATTTAACCATTGATGATACCATGAATAGTTTTAAGTAAGCGTTCAAAGTTGCACACTCAGAAAGTTGTAATTCTTCTTTAGTCTCTAATGTTTCAAAGTCAAAAGTAATATAATATCTTGTCGGTTGATAATATTCCTGCAAATTATGAGCTAATAACCACTGATATATCTTCTGTTTCGTAATATGTGGTGCATATGGTTGCTGGGTCTTTTGCAATTGAACGTCTTGAATTAATCTTCCATTATTTTCTTTACATTTCTCACAATGCTTTAAAAATCTTCTTTGGTTTTTCCTTTCTGGATCATCACGGATAGAATAAACTTCTTCTTTACAATATGGACAAACTTTATAGCCGGTGAGTGCTTCAACGTTTGTTATTCTGTCAGCGTGAAGTTTTCCACATGGACTCTGTGTTAATAAAATATTTACTGTTTTAAATTCTGGATCTATCATTATTGATTCCACTAATGGAAAGTCTACCTTATTTATGTCCACGTCTTCTGGTTGAGGATCACAATAATAAAAATCAATATTAACGTTTAACATTCTTGCTAACCTCTCACTTTCTGATGAAATGTCAAATCCTTCATATGCATCTATGGCTTCATTTAAATAACTTCTACGAGTTTTAGGATTAACACCATCAGGAATGTTATAGAAGCGTTTAAATAACCTTCTACCTTCGGCTCTTATTTGATTATCATTCATTTTAGCTGTTCCATTTTTATTCATTTATGTAAGAATAAAAATTAAAAAATAAATAAAAATAAAGTTTATTTTTTTTAAAGTCCGAGACTCAGAGAGTCCAGGGCTAAAGTCCATAAAATGAATTAAGAACACATAAATTTTTATCATCTGCGACGTGACGAATGCATTTTAATTTACTCAAGAATGCATACCCTGATACATTAAATCTAATTCCTGTTCATTGTCTGCAAAGTAAGTTTTTATGACATTTTGTAAACTTTCGTTTGCAAGGTCATGTTTTATGGGTTGCTTCCATTTTTTCTGAAATAAATGAATAAATATAATGTTTATAAGTTTTCATATCTTTTATGTTCTTAATAACGAATGGTATAGACCTTTCAACTTCATCTTCCTTCGGTGCTGTTCTTTCATATGAAACATTATTGGTATCTTCAATAATGAAACCACAATCGCATAAAATTTTATATGTACCAATTGTTTCTTTTGATATTTTATCTAACAAATCAAAAACTTTATCAACACCTGTACATTTATTTAAATAATAATTTGTGTAAATATCATGGTCTTCTTTCTTAATCGTATTTGTTGCATATGTTACATTTTTCAGTGCTTTTTTGAATTTTTCAGAATCAAGAGGAGGTGAAAGTAATATACATGGATAATCTCCATCGTCAATAAATTGTAACTTATGTTTATGAATAAATTTTGTGCCTTCTTCTGAAAGTGTTTCGTCAATATCACCATCTAATAAATTTTTAGTAGATTCCAAAAAGTAATTTTTATATCTTTCCTCATGTGATTTTTTTCTTCTGAAGCTGGGATATTCATTAAACCCTCTACTTCATTCTCAGCATTTCTCAATTCACTAATTCTTTCATCTATTTCATTTCTTAATTGTTCCAATTTCTCAATCTCATCGTTATAATATTCATCTTGTTTAATTTTTTCTTCAAAATATTCAGGAGGTGTTTCAAGGCTCTCTGAGCCCAGGTCCTCTGGACCATAAAGAGGAATATTCTCCTGTTTTTCAACTTTTTTGGGATATAAATATCTCATTATAGCCTTTTTAGTAATTGGTCCGTTATATTTAAATTCATTCAACAATCTGGAAAACTCTTTCACATTCTGCATATATGTTGGATAAGAACCGTCTCCAAAATTTTCTAAAATATTTTCTAATTCTGAATTAGTGAACTTTAAAGATTTCAATGAATTAGTTGTTATACTCATTTATTATAAAATAAAAAATAAAAAAATAAATTTAACTTAGTTTTAATTTTACGTAAGAAGTCAATTTTTTATATACCATCATTTGTAGGTATTATTTCTATCAGATAAAAATTATTTTTTTATTTAAAAAATATAATTTATTTTATGTCTTATAATGTGCGCATATGTATTTAAAAGGCATTCATTGAATTGCTTTTCAATCTCTTCTTCTCGTTTATGAGGTCTTTGATTATGACTCCATTGATTCCATGAAATTAAATATTCTTTATCATTATATTTATACCTCATTAGCTTATTTTGGCTTTCATATTCATTTAATAATTCACAATCTTCATTTTTAAATTGAAGTTTAACCCATTCAGGATTTAAATGATGTTTAATTAATCGCGGAATATCTGACATCATCTATATATAGCTTCTTTTATAAAAGATAAAAAAATAAATTATTTTAAAATTAATGTTAATTTTTTAATGATTTATAAATAAATAAATATATTTTAATGCATCGTCTATATATAGATGTAACAAAAAAAAGTCACACAACCCTTCAACATATACTACTATTACATCTGCGAGAAATAAGCAATTTCTCTTGGAATTTCTAAATACCCATGAAGATGACTTCACTTATGATCAAACATTGTGAGGTCATTTTTGATCAACAAATTAATTGAAATTCCGATCAAAAAAAATTCACAAATTGGATCAAAAAAATCGAATCTCAAGTTAAAAATAAAAAATTTCTACATTTTTATCAAATTTAGATTTTTTTTTCAAATCATGCGAATTGATTGAATAATTGCATATTTTATCCCATGCATCTAGAAGTATGTGTAATATTTTTGCTTTCATCAAGAAATTGTCGAATTTGATCTTAATTTTTTTTGAAAAATATACTTTTAGAAAAAGAAATAGTGATTGAATAGCTGCCCATGCTGTAAAAGGGTTATTTTTACAAGTAAAAAAAATTGTTATTTTTCGAGCAAGTCGAGGCTTTTTTACCATCTTATTTTTGAAAAATTTACGAAAAATTATATCTGAAAAAACGCTTCATTTTGATATCTTACAATGATAAAATACCAATGTTGCTGGGATATAATAGCTACACCTGGACATCTACTACATTAATGCGTATGACAGGTAAAGTTGATTTCAAAAGTATAGCCTGGAAAGATTACAATAAATCAACGATAAATCAAAAAAATTTCTTATAAGTTAACATAATAAAAATTTAATTTTTATATTGCTTGTATTATACTTAAGTATATAATATATTTAAATCTTAGAATGAAAATTCGGGACGCCCTAGCTATTCAATTTTCCCTTAGGACGCCCATAAACCTCTCAAAAATGTGATGTAAATATCACAATTTTGAGAAATTTACACTAGGACGCCTTAGGACGCCAACCCCCTTTTTTACCAAATTTTTGGCCAACATATCTAAACTAAGGATAATGGTTTGAATATATAAACAATAATACTTTGTCCAGGGAATTAAATTTGTGCTATCCAATTGTCAATTCTTTGAATTTTTTTTAAATGCAAGATATCCCGGCATTAGCCTCAATATATATATATATTATGCATCATAATATTAGTTTGTAATGGCATTAAAGCGAAATTCCTAATTTCTTCTCAATTAAATTCCTTGAAAAACATTGGAATTAATGATTGGAAATAGGTCAAAAAAATTCCTAATATAAAACTTATACTTAAGATAAAATTAAAATTCGAAAATATCTATTTTTCAAAACACGCATCCAAAAGCGAAAAAATTCGAAAAAATCATGTTCTTATAAAACTCACTGATTTTGCAATTTTTATGAGATTTGAAGTGATAGAATAGATTACCATCTTATTGAAACATATGCTTCATTGTTGTATTCACATAATATTAATCAGAACACTAGGAAAAGTGGATTTTCGAAAAATGACGATAACGATTATTTGCAAATCGCCTCTCAATTTTGAGAGACTTTCAATTTTTACAGTGGACCCTTAACTTCAAATCATATTTTTTTGTTTTGTACTTTAATCTAGAACATTCTAAGTTGTTATTTGAATTTAATTTCATTGATAAAAATAAAATTTCAATACTTCTTTTAAGTTTAATTAACTTTTTTCGATACATTCAATAAATTATAAATATCATCAATGTTAATTTCTTGCATAAATTTATTTTGAACAAAACTGATATATCGACATAGAATCAAATCTTTTTCGAATTTATTTAATTCCAAATAATCCGAAAGTTTGTTGAGTATTAATAATAAATAATCTGAATTGTAAAATTCATGAATTTCTGTTTGACCATCATAAGTAAACTCTTTTATAACTTTGTTTGATGCGTATATAGCGCATAATTTCTTCATTGTATTAGCCTTTTCATATATTTCGGATTCATCACAACGAACCTTTTTATATCTAACGTCGTAATACATATCAAAATTAATTTTGTTATAGAATATACCAGATAATAACTTCAAACAAATTTTCAAATCTTCTGTTTTTCCTATATAAAGACTTAATTTCTTTGTTTCATTATCGTTAACTAGAACGAAGAAGATGTAATATTCCTTCATCATTTGATTTTATAAAATATTTTATTTTTCATTTAATGACGTAGAATTAGTTTTTAACTCATCATTCATCTTAATGGTTCACGTTAAATAAAAATAAATCGAAGAATGTTGAATAAAAATAATGGTTATTTTTATTCATGAGTTATAACAGAAGTACTCACCAAATTTTTTCATTACGTCTGTTTCATTAATTATTTTCATATATTTAACTCTTTATCGTTCGTGATAAATTAAATAAAATGTTCAATATCATTTACTGAATATACTTTTTTGTGTTAGAATTGACGTGAACTGAACCGATAAATGATTTTTTAATTTTTAATTAAATGAACTGTGCTTGTTGAAATCCTTGAGAATTTTGATTTTTTCTAAGTGGAGAGATAAGACATGTAACAAACTAGACAGGCTTTCTAGGATCTCATTTAAAAATCTGATTTCGAAAAAAGAAACTCAAGAAAAAAATTCCGTTGATTTTGTAAACTGAATTCAATTTTTATGGCAGCAATTGATAGCAGCCATTACGAATTAATCAAGAAAATCGGTGGTGGTAGTTTTGGACAGATCTATATTGGTGAGGATACGCAGACTCATAAGAAAGTTGCTGTGAAATTAGAATCAAAAAAGACAAGTGTTCCTCAGTTATGCTATGAATCAAAATTATATGTATTATTTTCAGGCTGCCCATCTGTTCCACGCTTATACTGGTTCGGATCCGATCATACTCATAATATTATGGTTATAGATTTACTTGGCAAGTCTCTTGAAGATTTATTCATCCAATGCGGACAAAAACTTTCACTAAAGACAGTACTCATGCTTGCAGACCAAATGATATCGTGTGTTGAATACATTCATAGCAAAAATTTTATTCATAACGATATTAAACCAGATAACTTCGTTATGGGCCGTGATGAAAAGCCAAATCAAGTTTTTGTCATTGACTTTGGCCTTTCTAAGAAGTATCGTGATCCATTTACTCATGAACATATCGCTTATGCAGATGGACGCTCGCTGACAGGTACACCTCGTTACGCTTCGATAGCTGCTCTCCAAGGTATTCGCCAAACTCGCAGAGATGATATGGAATCTTTGGGATATGTTTGGATGTACCTTTTACGAGGTTCTCTCCCATGGATGGGTATTAACCTTAGGACGAGAGGCCAGAAATTTGATAAAATTCTTGCTGTTAAAGAAGCTACGTCGATTGAATCTTTATGTCAAGGATTTCCACAAGAATTTGCAGATTATTTACACGATGTTAGAAATCTTAAGTTCGACGAACAGCCAAATTACGCCGCTTACCGAAAACGTTTCAGAGATCTCTTTATTTCGAAGGGATACGTTTTTGATTACGTTTACGACTGGACAGACACGTCCAAATCCCATAAGAAGAAAGAGCTTGTCATCAATGTCGAGCCAACAAGGAAGGCAGAGGCTCCAGCTCCAGAAAATAACGCAAATGCAGCAAAACTTACGAAAACATTGGCCAGAGAGCGTCGCGAGCTCAACCAAAAAGCTCAAAAACAAGAACTCGAGAAAGAAAAAGCGAATATACAGGCTCCTCCTGGCGCAGTTCTCGCTGCACAAGAAATACAAAGAGATCCACAGGCAAAGAACTACAAGAAGGCGGAGAATGAACAAAACAATCGTACAAATGAAGATCCAGCACTCGCTGATGCACTTGCAAACTTAGATTTCGACATGAATCACCTTCCACCGGGTGGACCTCTTCCTAATGGGCCATTCCCAAGGCCAATGTGGAGATCGAGATATCCTAGATGGATGACTCCTGTTCAAACACTTCAAGTCAGATAATTTAATTTGTTTTTATTATTTGTTATTTATGTTATTATAAATCAACTTTTTGTTTGGTTAACTTGTATTATATGCATTTTTAAAATCACTATTCGTCAACTACGAACTAAAAACATATGAAATGAGAAGTTTATCTATCATCACTAAAACTATAAATTACGACATAATCTGAATGAAAAAATATCCTTGGCTATATAGTTTTATAATGCAAGAGGGCCGATAATAGACTTTGGGCTCTTATAGTTAGACTTTAAGAACAAATTGTTGAAATTTAACTTTAAAGAATGGCTGCTTCGTTAGCATTTTGAATCACTATTGTGATTTTCTGTTTTTAAATTTCTTTTGTAAATTTACGAGAATATTAAGCAGAAACAGATATTATAAGAGATTTGAATATCAATATTGTAAAGATATATTTTATTTGAATTCTAAAGAGCAGGAGAATATCTTGACTCAATAATTATCATTAATTGGATTGTTTCACTTTGCTATTTATTCTTTTTGGAGTCTTCAGCTTTCTAGTTTGAAGCAAGTAGAAGAAGAGGCAGATGTAATGATATACAATACGACTAATCTTAAAATAAAAGGGTAAATTTTTTTTGAATAAATTAAAAAAATTCTTTTTTAAAAAAACTAAAACAATGAAAATTTCATTTGTAAATCTTAAAGAGAAGGACATTGTTCTGACTCAATCATATTCTTCACAACTATATCAATCTTCCTTCCTTTCTTTACTGTCAATGACTTTGCGACAATATAACCATCAATTGGTCCTTCTCCGCAGTAATAAATGTCGCAATCAGGAGCTTCTCCATCGATGCATTGCAAATAGTTTGGAAGGACGAGTTTCTTGATCTTTGTTCCTTCAAACAAGTTCAAGTTAAGGTCGATGATGTTAGATATCTGCATGTCCACTTTATTTGCCTTTGTCTTCATGAAACAGCGCTGTCCGATCTCATAAACATTGGCAGGAATTGAGAAATCCTTCAAATTCGTTCTTGCGAATGCTCTTGCGCCAATTTTCAGTGAAGTTCTTGGTAGAACTAATTTATCAATTGGGCAGCCTTCGAATGCGCAATCCTGGATCTCCTGGACACCTCTCATTTCGTATGTCTTCAAAGAAGAATTCAAGAAAGCGCCCCAACCGATAACAACAAGGCTTCTTGGGCATTTGAAGGATTCCATTGGCGTATTGCAGAAGCACATTGTGTGGAGTTGCTTAACACAATCAGGAAGCATTACACGAACAAGGCGTTCGCAATTCATGAATGTTCTGGCAGAAATATTTGTCACTTTTGTGCGACTAATATCAACAGAAATTAATTCTTTGCAATCCATGAAAACACCTGGTTCTATTACTTCCATCTTTTCATCGTATATTACTTCACTAATTTTAGTTCCTCTGAATACTTCTCTGCACAATTCCGCTGTCCAAGGTGACAGCAAAACCTTGTATAAATTGCTGCAATTAGTGAAAAGTCCCGGCAAAATACGTGTCATAACTAAAGAAGACATGTTCACGGACACTAAATTAGGGCAGTTCTCGAACGCGTGTGCGCCAATGTATGTAACTTCTTTAGGAATTGTCAAATCAACAAATCCACAAGACTCAAAACCATAAGAAAGAATTGCTGTTTGAACGTGAGGGAAAATTATCTCTCTCAGTTTGAAACAGTTCGTGAAAGAATGTGGACATAACAAACAAACATTGGAATCATTCAAATCAATGCGTTGTAAATGTTGGCAGTTGGCAAAACCGCCAACTTCTATTTCATGAATATTTGAGGGAAATTTAATCGTCGAGAAATTGGTATTCATGAATGATCCTTTATCAAGTTTTCTAACTGATCCAACGAAGTTGAAATTAGAAAGGGAAGTGCAGTTGCAGAAAGAGTAAGGTCCGAAGATTTTCACGGCAGAGCCAGACTCGATTTGGATTGTTGTCAATCTCTCGCATCCGCAGCAGAATTTTTCAGGAATTTCTGTGAAAGAACACTTAGAAATATCAAGTGTTTCCAAGAAAGAACAGCCAAATAACAATCCGACACCTACTTTCGCGAGTTTTTCTGGAATTGCGAATTGTCTAAATCCAGTGTAACTCAATGCATAATCTCCTACCATGCATTCGCTGCCACTCCACGTGAAAGTGTTCAAACTGTCACAGCCACTGAAGCAATAACTACTGATATTTAAGTTGTTGCCATTCATGTTAACATTTGACAAAAAGTGACAATTTGCAAAAGCTTTCTTTTCGAGTTTGACGAGATTTCCTGGAATTTCCAGCATTTCCAGACCAGAATTTGCGAAGGATTCCTCTCCGACAGAGAATTTCTGGCCAGGCCATGTCACTTGTTTCAAATTCGTGCAGTCCTTGAACACGGATTTCGGAATAATCTCAATCATCGTGTCCTGCAAATTCACTTTTTCAAGTTGTTTGCAGCCTTCGAACGCTGATTCTCCGACTGACGCGAATGCCTTCGGAAAAGTGATTTCTCTGATGGCCGTTCCAGCGAAAACTCCCTTTAGAATACGGATGGACGATGACGGGAATTCTACTTGGGAAAGACTGGAACAGTTTGCAAAAGCAAACATCGGTAATTCATCAAACATGATGTCACTCAATGAAATTTTTGTCAGTTTTGTACAGTTTTGGAATGTTGAAGCAGAAATGAAGGAAATAGTTGATGGCATCTCTAGTGTAGTAATAGCTGTACCATAGAAGGAGCGTTCTGATATAGCTAATTGAAAATCAGGCCATTTGATCTCCCTCAAACTTGAACAGTTTTCAAACATCGATGCAGGAACTGATTCTAATTCGATGTTTGTTAAATCTACCTCTTCAAGCTTCTTGCAATTGGCATATACACCACGACCTGCAGATTTCATCTCGTTACCAACGACTAGTTTGGTAAAGGCAGTGTCGGAAAACGAGTAATCACCAAATTCTGGCATTTTTTCTGGAAAAGTGACAGAATTCAAAGTTGAACAACCTGCGAAAGCGAAAGCGGAGGCTTTCTTGAGAGCTGTGTTGGAGAGATCGATGGATTGAAGGAACGCGCAGTTTCTGAATGCGCCTTCCCCGATTAATGTCAATGTGGATGGAAGATCAATCGTGGAAATGCCGGAATATGAGAAAGCGAGCTTTTCTATGACAGTGCAGTTCTCTGGGAAAATTACTTTGGCAAGGGCAATGCATTTGGTGAAAATGGCAACAGGAACATTAGATACTTTGCAGGCAGATAAATCTACGGTTGCAAGACGAGGGCAGTTACGGAAAATGGCTTGGCCAAGCTTACTTACGGACTTTGGAACAACAAATTCGGTTAAATCGGTCTCAGAAAGTGCACATGAACCAATTGATGTAACTGTTGATGGGAGTTTGATCTCGGTAAGACTCGTGCACTTGGTAAATACGAATTCATCTAATACTTCGATCTTTGTAGATGTTAAATCAGCTGATTTCATTAAATTGCAATATGCAAAGGCGGATTTCATGATTCTTGTAACGGCGGCATCAACTTTGAGCTCTTCAATGGCTGTGCATGAAAAGGCAGAGCCAGAAATAGTCTTAAGTGAATTTCCGAATTTTATATTTTTCAATTTCGTGTTGTTGTAAAAGGCGTGGTAGCCAATCTTCTCTACTTTGGATTTGGAGAAATCGATCTCGGTAAATTGATTGAATTCGAAGGCATCATGGCCGATTGTTGTTAATGTTGAAGGAAATTTGAACTCAGAGAGCTTTGTGCATGAAAATGCTGCATCGCCAATTGTTTTGATTGTGTTGGGGAGAACAACAGAAGATAATAAGTTGCAATTTGCGAATGTTCTTGATGGAATCAATGAAAGTGATGTTCCATCGAGAGTTACTGATGATAGCTTGGAGCAATCTTCGAATGCACCTTCGCCAATTGATTCTAAGGGTATGGAGATCTCAACTTTAACGATATCGGATCCTTTAAATGCATTTGGAGCAATTGATGAGATTTTAAGTGTTTTCTTCTGATATTCAACGGATGCTGACTTGATTGTAAGCTTTGAACCAGAAAGAATTGATGTTGTATCATCAGATTTTCGAGTAAAAGTATATGCTAAAGTTTTTTCATCGAATTTACCATAAAATGTAGCATCAGCGAGCTTGATTTCAGCTGGTATTTTCTCTGCTGGTACTTCTTTCTGTTCTTCACAAAGGGAAAGAATAGAAAAGAAATAAAACAGCATTTGATGAAAAAAAAAATTGCAAGTTTCCACTTTTATCGTCAAAGGAAATTCTCCAAATATATATTAATAATAATATATTTAGAATGTAATTATGGAATAAATCAGAAATATATCAGTAAAATTCCTTAACTCAATAGATGAATATGAATTTAATTTCAAAAGTGAAAGCTTTGTCCGGAATTAAGTCAAAAAATGAAAGTATATTATGTAAGCTATTTAACCTTTAATAAGTTTCTTGGATTGGAATTTCTCAATTGGGAAACAGACAGAGCCTTTCAAATGACAATTTATTTATATGGCTAAAACTCAAACAAAAGCTATTAGGCACTCCAAAGTCCTTGCCATTGAATGCGCAGTAGCTCTCGCAGTCGTTCTTTTTGTTCTTTGCCGCTTTGTTCTTCCACATAAAGCAGAAATTTATTTCTTCGCCGGTTTATTGTGCGCTGTCATATTCTTCTTCTTAGTTATTGCTGTTGGAAATTACATCGAAGAGAGAGATCCAAGCAAGCACGCAGGCTGGGGCACAATTTTAGTATGCGAAGCAATTGCAGCCATCTTCTCTTATACAATTCACCCAATTTGCATCACAACATGCATTCTTTTCAGTTTCCCAGCTATTGTTTATATTAAATATGCTCGTTTTGAACTCACAAAGCCAAAGTCCCAAAAATAACCAGTAAAGCTTATTACTCTTCATATTAAATGATGTTATATTTCAATATAAATTACTGCTTATTAAGCATCGGTCGACTAAATTTGGAATATGAATAAAGATAATGAATAATTCTTTTTCAATTGTTTTTCCCTGGCTATTCTGTTTATATAAGCGATTCTATTTATGTGAGTCTCATAGAATGAAGTAAGTATATCTCAAATAAGCATAATTGAAAAACCTGAGCTAGAAAATTTTAAAATTTTGCTGAGTTACATTTATATTTTGTATCAATTTATGCATGATTCTAATAATATTTGTATTTTTCATGAAAAATAGCAAGAAGCAATTTTTTCCTTTCAGCCTTCTAAACGTACGAAAATTACAGAAAAATGGTTGAGATTGTATTTGAGCAGGCTTCTTTCTTTAAGAAGATCATCGATAGCTTGAAGGGCCTCGTCGAAGACATTTCATTTAAATGCACATCAGACGGTATGGATCTTCAGGCCATGGATATTTCTCATGTTTCCCTTATTTCTATCAGTCTTCCAGCTGATATTTTCAATACATACAATTGCTCAGAGGAAATGAATCTTGCATTTAACGTAGATGTTCTTAACAAAGTCCTCAAGAGTGCTTCAACAGATGATTATTTGAAAATTTCTACAGAAAAGCCAAATGAAGATATCACAATACAGCTCTCAACTCAGAGTGAAGACAAGAATACACGTTTTAACTTGAAGCCAGTTGATATTAATGGTGACGCTGTTTCTATCCCAGAACATATTTACAAGGCCAAGCTTTCACTTAGTTCAAATGCTTTCAATCAACTTATTAGAAGCCTTTCTGAAGTTAATGACTCTGTTGCTGTTAGATGCACAGAAGGATCAATTTCATTCTCAGTTTCTGATATTTTACTTAATGCTACAACAACATTTAATGCTGGTGTAACAAATGAAAAGGCAGAAGAAGAAATTGAAGTTGATGTTACAGAAGGATGCAAAGTTGCTTATGCTCTTCGTTATTTGAAGGCTATCTCAGCTGCTTCTGCTCTTTCTACACGTGTTAACTTATCATTCTCACCACATTTCCCACTTCTTGTCGAATATTCATTACAAGAAGGCGGATATGTTCGTTTCTATCTCGCTCCTAAGGTAGACGAAGAGGCATCTGAGGATGAAGTCTAATTTTCCACTTGAATATTATATGCTTTTTTAAATAATAAAAGAAAATATTTAATTTCTTAATTTTTTTTTGAATTGAGATATCATATCAACAAAAAAAAGACTCTTGATTAGACTCATTTTGAATAGTTTTAAGTTTAGAAAAGGAAATATAAAAAACATTTATAAAAAGATTGAATTTGTATATTTATTACGCTTTTCTGACATTATAGATATATTTTTATTGAACAAAAATAATAAAAATCAATAACAAAATGAGAAAAATAAAATTAAATCGAATTAAGCCTTTTGATCTTTGAGTTCCGCATTTGGATCAGCAGGTTCGACATCAATTGAAAGTTCTTCAAGAGATTCTCCTTCCATATATTCCAAATTCATCAATTTTTGCTGAACTTGCTCAATAGGAAGCAAAACGTATTTCCTTCTTGCGAAACTTTCGATTTGTTTCATAAATTCGAATGTTCTTCCGCATCTCTTCATGTTAATTAATCCATTTGTTGTCAAAGACTCAATAGCTTCATTAACTTTGAAGAGGAATGAAAGCAATGGCGGTAAGTGTGGTAAAGCTGGTTGTCCGGAGTTGATTGCCTCTTTATGAGCTTGAAGCAACTGATGATAAGCTCCAGAAGGGCTTCCAAGGTCTTCAAGCTCCTTCAGGAATGGAACATCATCGGGGCGAAGCAATTTCTTATGCCTCTGCAGGCGGAATATCGCGCTGCTATTGAATCCTAAGTGGATGGCAAAAAGTGAAAAGTAATTTCGTAAAGCTTTCAATTCTCTCATCGTGTCTATCAAAAATTTCATTTTGTTGAGACGAGCTTGGAGTGATGGTTCTGTGAGAATTGCAGTTGGAACCCAAGCAGAAATGATGTTAAACTGGTTTGTAAGCGCAACAATGTTTGGAGAACGATGTTTAGATCTTTCGCTCGCCCAGGCGCCGTCGATCAATTCTGTACGCTGGATCTGATAATACTTAGAGCAGGCGTATACTGTAAGCTGTCTAGCAAATTCTTTTGGAGGAATATCGAATAAAGAGAAATTTCCAGTCCAAAGCTCTGTGCAAGTACCAAGCTCGACGGATGGTGCTGATGAGTAATCAATCGTAGTTTCAGATCTGCGTGGTTTGAAGAGTTGGGCTAAATAACTTGAATAATTCTGGAATTTAGCTTCAGCAAATGCTTTTGCGGCATCTTTGACAGGTTGTTCAATGAATTCACTGGCCTCTTGTGACCAATGTGTAAATAACTTAAAGGTAAGGGACTTAGATCTTTCTCGGGTTTCGTCTCCTTCGTTTAATGCAATTTCGTATCGCTCTTTGATTTTTGTGAAGAAAATCTTTGAAGTTGTGAAGGAACGATATGTTAAGCAAACTTGCTGCATGAGTTCTCGATATGGATCCTTTGTTTCAGAGGTAAGTAACCAAATCAGCTGGTTAAGAGAAGCGGATTCGATTTTTGTATGCGTTTCATCATATTTGATGAATCTTTCATCACCAATTTGTTCATTTGATAAAGGTGTTGTATCTTCTGCAATGAATGGGATACCGCCGATAACATTGGATATTTCCTGATCAATAAGCTTCTGCGGATCTTGGTATTTTGCTGGAGAAGGAAGAGATAATTCCCAAAATCTTTCAGCATGGGAAATTCCGCGTTGAATTAGTAATGTTAGCTGAGAGCGTAAGAGATGGGCTGGAATGTTTATAGGCTGTGACCACTCTTCGTGGAGCGATGCTTGAGATTTGATCAATCCAAAAGTTCTGAAATGTTGAGAAATAAGAGCAAGAAGCAAATCTTGGCTTGCTAAACGATTTATTGGGAGATATAAACGAGCAAATTCTACGGCTCTAGGAATCGGATCAACTCTTTCTATAAAATCTTTTGCATCTTTATTTTCATTCAAGAACCTACTATACCAATCGGATCGATCTTGACCATCTTCGATGAAATAATTCTTTCGGAGCATATCAAACTCTGAGCTGATAGTAAGAGCATCTTTTTCTAGATTTTGCGAAATTGCCTCCTCTTCATGAAATGTATTTGCTAAAATTGATGACTCTTCAAAAGAACTTCTTGTCCTCGACCTATTTTTTGTTTTACTTTCTACAGCAAGAATAGAATTAACAGGTAAAGAAGTCATCTAAAAAATTTTTTTTTCTGTCGATAAAAATTGTCAGAAAATCGAATTATTCTCAGATCTTCCTCAGTCTATACATAAAAATTTGCCAGAGTGGGATACGTGCACCATTAACAATATGCCAAATAAAACGCAAAAACAATTATTTAAAATAAATTTCGAAACTGATCATTATTAAATATCGAAACCGTTAATAAGGTATAGCATCAAAAGCATATGCTAAATGCGTAGTGTTATTTTTAAATACGTAAATTTTTCACTGGTTGAATGCAAAATAATTATTTTTGCATGTTTTTTCATTGCAATGTGAAGAACAGTTTTTTTCACATCATATGAAAGTTTGCAGTCGATTGTTTCTTTACTATTAATACTTGTTGCATAATGAAGGGAGGTGAATCCATATATATATATCATTGATATTTGCACCCCGGTTAAAGAAGAAATTCAACTACTTCTTTGATATAAGATCTATTTATAAATAAGTCTTATGAAGGACTATTTCACCATTGTAATATTTGTTTTTGAGATTTTTTCCATAGTAAAATAAGCTGTTTGGCTATTTCTTTAAAATTATAACGCGCTGCATAATGAAGGGTGGTTTTTCCTACTAAAATATCTCTGAAGAAAAATTTCGATCTTTATAACTCGAAAAAATCAATTGTTCCATGGGAACAACATAATTTAAGTAACGAATATTCATCAAAATAAGATTTTGATCTTTATCAAATCCTTCTCTTTCTGTGAATATGATGAATCTTTCTATGTTATTATACTTCTTTGTTCTGCAAATTGTGTCTTCTATATTAATTTTTCCGAAATCATCAGACTTGTGTAATTTCAAATTCTTTTTTAAACGGGAAGAACGAAATATTTTATTGACAAGATAATCATCAGATATTTGTTTGGCATGAAATAAATATGAATTTGTAATAATAGGATGGAATGATATTTGAACTAAATGATTAATAATAAGTTTGTTCTTCATTCTTTAATAAAAATGTATACATTAAATATTATGAAAATATTTTATAATTTTAATAAAAAATTGTTTTTACTTATTAAAAGAAGTTTAAAAGTATTTCCATTTTGCAGATGAATGCTATTGAATTATACGAGGTTTGCAAATTGAATGTCGGCATCACTTGTGTCTGTTCCTTTGGATCGGGATTTAAGAACGAAAATGACTGCAACAGCAACTAGAACTGCAACAACTAAGATGCCAATGACGATACCAACAATAGCTCCCGTTCCAAGTTTACCTGACTTGGATTTGGAATTCTCTGGTTCTTTATCATTGTCATTATCGTCTCCTGATGAATTCTATTTGCTAGATGATGTTTCTGGTGTTCTTGGTGGAACAATTGTCGTTTGCTGTGGCATTTGAATTGGAATAGTTGTTTGTTGTGGTGTTCTGACTGGAACGATAGTCGTTTGTTGTGGAGTTCGGAATGGAATGTTGAACCATGTACCCCCTCTCATAAAGGCATCTTTGCTATAGCTATAATTCTTGTAATTAACATTTGGATCATCAAATTTGATTTGAGAGAATTCAACATAGGCATTTGGATGATAGATGATCATGCGATTGATACTTTCGATTGAGTATGTTTCGCCTTCTTGAACAGTGACATTTCGATCTTGACCGTTATTCGTTTGAAGTCTCAATTTGATCTCGCTCACATTATGTTTCACTGTCGTTGAGAATGGATAATAAGAATAAATAATTGAGAAATTATGCCATTTGCTTGCAATATAATATCCTGGAATGTCAGATCTTAAATTGTTAAAATCTGAACCATATCTTTGTGGATTGAACAGTCCACCTGGAACTCCATCAACTAGTATTACAACATCACATGGACCTTTTGTATTATTAACAGTAAATATGCGTCCTTCCATTGCGGTTGTAAGATGAAAGTGATCTGTATATGCAAAAATATAGTATCTGTAATCTCGTGTGATCATAGCATAATACTTTAATGTGGCGTTTTCGTATCTTACTGCTTTAAAATCACCTTCCATCAATATTTCAATTCCTATATCATAGATTGAAGGCTTATTGGGAATTGTCACATTTTTCTTGATTGTATTTGCTGGTAATTCAGTGAGATTCTTCCATGAATATATACCGGTATGTTCTCCTTGAAAAATGAAAAGAGTTCCTGTTTTCTCTGTGAAATTAAATCCGTCTCCATCCTCATCAAAATATGTGATGGTTGATTCAACTGCTGATTCAAAAAGAATGAAACTTTTCTTTTCTGATATCGGGAATTTCATCTTGATATCGTAATCATTAGAAATCCACATTATTGTATCATACTCATACTCAGTGAGATAATAAAGATCGATTTTCAGAGATTTTGATCCAGATTCTGGCTTCAATTTCAATATAAAATCGTAACTTGGATGCATATAAATTCTTTCGGGCTTTGAACCATTTTCAAAAATGAATTCCTCTGCGTTTGGAATTACCACAAATTGTGAATTAGATACAAAGAATCCAAAGATGATAATCTTATATTTATCAGCATCAAATTCAATCTCCGTATGTTCCCTTTTGTCCACAATTACATAAGGTATAAATTCACATGGTTCGACCTCATTTACATAATATTTATTATATTGTTTTTTATCATAATTTTTATGTAAAAGAGTGCTTCTAAAATCAGAATAATTGTCGTTTGAATTCCTTGTAAAATTGTAGATAACAAAATTAAAGTCATCATATGACATAGAATCCATATAAATATATAATTTGGTGACTCCTACAAATTCTGATTTCTTGCCAGTATATTGAGTAAAATCATAAATTCTGGGGACGTAATTATAATTTGAATAATTCCAAAATATAGAGAAATTCATTGGATACCAAGAAGTAATTAATGCGTAACAATAATCATGGTTAGAGCTGTAATATTTGTAAAATCTGTAATAATTGTTTTCTTTCGGATTTATAATAGCATCAATAAGTTTCGTTTGACCTGATCCATAATCAAAAATTTCAAATCTAACTAAATTCTTACCCGAATTTGACTTAAATCCTCCAGTTCTGCTAGCTTCTTGAATTGAATCAAAGTCATACCAAGAATCCCATAATTTAATACGAATTCCATTGCTTTGATATGGGAATATCCAACAATTAAAAGGATCAATAAAAAATGATATTTCTTCTTCACCAATCAAAAATTCATATCTACCAGGCGAATAAATCTGAATTGTATTTGAATACCAAAATTGATGTTTATCATCATATGATAATGCACAAGAATCCATCTTATAATATCCAGTAGTTTCAACACTCGGATCGACTTTTTCTGCAGAGAAGAAAATATTTGTTGAACCAGATATATTCATCAGAAGATATTTTTTATAACCGTTCTCATACTTCTGCCTGCAACTAACCATTTCATCGTATGGACTACTTTGAAAATCACCTACTTTTGAATAGCCTTCAACTTCAAATCGATAATTAAATTCTGTTGAACTGAGGAAAAGAACAAATTGATTTGGTTTTGTCCTTTGGATAGAGTTATATGTAGAATTTCCTCCATTGTATATAATTGATAGTGAATCGATGCTGTCAGCATTTAATTTTGTGATAACAAATTTTAAAACAGTTTGTCCATTTTTCGGAATGATCGTAGGACTGAATAATGAATAATTTGCTCCATATGTCATGTTTAAGTCTTGAAAGTCCTCATTGTTGATGAAAAATGCATAATATTTCGAATCTCTATAAAGATCTGTAGAAAGAACGAGTTGTGATTGCTCTGTTATTGTAAGTTCGGAGTATCCGTACGATACAACGAATTTTGAGATAGAAAATATACACGTAACTAGTAGTGCAAGCATTTTGATCGACTATGTTCTATCAAATTTTGATGTGACGAAGTATTTCTTTCAATTTTTTGAGATACCTAAATGAAGTAATTATAAATTTTTGTGAAAATATTATTGTACTTCATGAATCTATGCAATTCCTTTTTGATAGACGCCGTTAGGATCCGAAATTTTTTTTATTCTTCCTGACAATTGGGTACTAAATGAATCATAGCAATATGATTAGTTCATATTTGCTTAATATAATCAAATTATGGCTCTTTTCATTAAATCAAATCAATATTCAAAACAAAATTTCGTTTTGAAGTTATTATTATTAATCATTAATAAAATTGTGCCATAAATGAAGAATTTTCTATACCAATGATAAAATGAATCAGAAAAAAAAAACGATAATAAATTTCTGAAGCTGTTAATTGCCAATTAAAGGAGCCTGGATGTGCATTGACAGAAAAATCTTACAAAAATAAGCTTTTTCTGGAGAACGATTATTTCATAATTTTTAAAAATTCAAAACAGATAAATTCTGATTGAAAAATTTGTGAAGTGTTAGTTATGGTATTAATTATTTATAAAGAATTTTATAATAAATTATGAATGGTTCTTATACACTCTATTTCGCTTCATGATAGAGTTTTCAGAAACTCGAATCTAAGTCAGATGGGTATATGTACATTCTAAATCTGAATAATGTTATCATGAGTTAATTTATTATAAAAATATTAGGAAAATGTAATTAGGTATTTTTTTTTATTTGGATTGAGTTTTGAATTGTATAATGCAAAATAGTATTATACAATGTTTGCAAATTGAATATCAATATCGCTTGCGTCGGTTCCATTGGATCGTGATTTAAGAACGAAAATGACTACAACGGCAACAATAGCTGCAACAACTAAGATACCGACGACAATACTGACAATTGCTCCTGCTCCAAGTTTACCTGAATTAGATTTAGAATTCTGATCTTCTGGTGTTTTCTCTGGATTAGACGAAGTTTGTATAGGAATAGAAATCCATGCTCCGCCGCTGAAACTTTTTTGACTATATTTGCCTTTAAAGTTAACATTTGGATCATCAAATTTGATTTGAGAGAATTCAACATAGGCATTTGGATGATAGATGATCATGCGATTGATACTTTCGATTGAGTATGTTTCGCCTTCTTGAACAGTGACATTTCGTTCTGGTCCGTTATTCGTTTGAAGTCTCAATTTGATCTCGCTCACATTATGTTTCACTGTCGTTGAGAATGGATAATAAGAGTAAATAATTGAGATGTTGTGACTTTTACTTGTGATATAATATCCTGGATAATCTGATCTCAATGAATTGATTTCTGATCTATAATTTTGGGGATTGAAATAACTGCCTGGGAGACCAGAAACAAAGATAACTGCATCACATTGAATTTGACTACTTCGGAGTTTTAACAAACTATGATTAACTGCTTCACTTTCAATAGGAATATTATCAGTAAATGTATAAATTGAACTTTGTTTTCGATCTCTAAATAGGAGATATAAATACGTGTATTGGCTATTATCCAACCTCATTGTTTTAATATCTCCTTCAGTAAATAATTCAATTCCTTTTTCATATATTGATGCAAAGTTTGTGTTGATCCTTCGCTTGATTGTATTTGGAGGTAATTCAGTGAGATTCTTCCATGATAAAACACCAGAATGCCCACCATTGAAAACGAAAAGAATTCCTGTTTCTTCCGTGAAATTAAATCCATCTCCATCCTCATCAAAATATGTGATGGTTGATTCAACTGCTGATCCAAAAAGAATGAAACTTCGTTTGCTAGAGATTGGGAATTTGGTACGAAATTCAAAATCATTCAAAATTACATCAGCTGATTCATATGTTGTTCCACCTATTCTTGTGTTATTTATGATATGATAGAAATCGACTTTCAGAGATTTGTCACCAGAAATAGATTTCTTTTTCAGAACAAAATATCCATCTACAACAACATAATATTTGTTAACAGCAGATCCATTTTCTAGAACAAAATCTTCTGGATTGAAAAACACAAATATTTGTGTATCATTAGCTGTTGCATCAGCTTTTGCAATAATGTTCTTTAATTCGCCATCGGTGAAATCTACTGTTGTTTTTGTATTATATCGGAAATACGCATAAGGTGTAACATCATATGGTTGACCTTCTGTAACTATCTCTTTGTCTACATCACGAGGAACTTGGAAAATTCCGCTATTTAAATTGGAATAATCATCATTGGCATTTCATGAGAAATTATAAAAAGCAAAGCCAAGTTCAGCTGAACTGAGAGTACTAATACGAAGACTAACGCATGTAACACCAATGAAATAATGATCATCTTGTAGTCTGTTTCTATCAATAGAGTCATAGATGGTAATGGTTTTATAATTTGAATAATTCCAAAACTGTGAGAAATTAATTGGGTACCAAGAATAAACTACTACCATTGTTTCATTTATTGGATTAAGACCTTTACCTTTGTAGATACCATTTTCTTTTGGATTCAAAATTACATCGATACAACCAAATAAGGTATAATGGAATTCGAATCTAAGAACTTTTTCCCCTGATTTTGATTTAATAGCAGCGATATTAATATCAATTGCTTTATCAAAATCTGTCCAAGTACCATCTTTCTTTTGGATCATGATATCTTTGCTTTGATGAGGAATGAGAATTTCATGAGCATTTCTCAAAAAATTATAATCATCAATATAAATTGGCTTTGCAACTTCGTCAATCAAAAATTCGAATTTACCGCCAGAACATAGATTAATAGAATCTGCATGGCTAAATACATATGAAGCATCGTATGATAAACTGCAATCATTCAACATATAATATCCTGTTGTTTCAACATCTTTATTGACTTTTTCTGCTGAAAAATAGAGAGTCTCAAGATCTTCAACTTTTATGGGTGCACCCGTATGTACGTTTATTTGAGAGGAGGAGGATTACCCTCTCAATTTTGAGGGATTCGTTAGTTTATTTTCTCGATGAATATGCAATAAAATTTGATTTTTACCTTATCAATATACTTCATATAATATACACATGTTCATGTAAAAACTTTTTTCCAAAATCCTCATGAATTAAGGGATTTTTGAATTTTAAGAATTTTTTTCGAATTTTTTCAAAAAAAAAATATTTTCAGAACAGCCTTAACGGCTAAGATTTAGGAACAATGTTAAGTATCAAAAAGAAAGGAGGTCTGATATAGACAACATATATCGTTGAAGGTTGAAAAAATCTCTAATATTTGAGCCCAAAATTTCAAAATTTAATTTTTTGAAAAAAGAGGCCACCCGTATGTACGTTTAGTTGAGAGGAGGAGGATTATATTTTTGAAAGGGTGAAACATTATGAATATGTTAATTATATAATAATATGTATTATTATAAAAAAGAAAAAATAAAGCACGTTAAAATTTTTCTTTCTTGATTTTTTACAAAATCTACTTAGAATTATGCAAAATATGACTAAATAATTATAAATTTCAAGTTAAATTTTAATTTTGATAAATAATTTAAATTTCAAAATATCAAGTTCAGTTCGACTATGTATGTAGTAATTTCTCAATAAAGTGCCAAAACCCTATTAAAATATATGAACATTTTCAACATTTTAATGTTTTTATTTAAAAATTTGATGGAATATGAGCTTCAAACAATTATTCTGTAAATAAAAATAATTAAATATATGTATTTATTCGTATTACAACCGTAGTAAGTCGATTATTCCTTTCTTCTACTGAGATTTGAATTTGATTTCGAATTGTAAAGAGATTCAAAGGGAAAATACTAGCGGATAAAAACTACCTCCATGAAAGGGTCATAATGGAGTTAAGTTGTATTTTTTGATATTTTTTGCTTTTCGAGCCTAAATAGGTAGCCAAGATAATGCCTAAAAATAAGGTTCTAAATTCTGAAGTTTACATGATCCTCTCGTGTGCACCCTTAATAGGAGATATTTTTTGTAGCCATTATCGTAACAACCTCGAGACACATATAATGGTTCGTAGGGTTCAGATTGAAAAGACACATATCCAGAACGCTTGAAATTAAACCGATAATAAAATTCTGTTGAACTTAGGAAAAGAACGTATTGATAATCTTTGGTGAATTTGAAAGTGTTAAATGTTCCATCTCCTCCATTATATACAATTGATAACGAGTTAAATCTAGCTTTGTCAATCATTGTAATTACGAATTTTAAAACTGTAGGACCGTTTTTCGGAATAATTATCGGACTGAAAGATGTTAAATTTGCACTATAAGTAAGGTTTAAGTCTTGGAAGTCTTCATTGTTGAGGAAAATAGCATTCCAATAATTTGGATAAAGGTCTTTTGAGAGTTCAAGTTGTGATTCTTTTGATATAGTAAGCTCAGAGTATCCGTACGATACAACAAATTTTGAGATAGAAAGAGAACACGTGACTAATATTGCAAGCATTTAAAATAGAAATTCTTTAACAAATTTTGAGAGGATGCCGTAGGAATTCAAATTTTCAGAATCATGATCGGACCAAAATCACATTTTCATGAAAATATTAATGTATTCGTTGTATATATGCGATTCACTTGAATCAAAATATAAAATTAAAAATAATAAATAATAAAATTAAAAAAGAAAAAAATGAATGATACCAAGTATCAAGTAAATTTATTATTGAAATATCTTCATCCGATTTGATTTTTTTGAATTTTGAAGTTTTTCTAATTCGCAACTTGTTTTTTCCGAATAATAAAGCATGCTGTATGATGCGTTGGGATAAAAACTTACAACTTGTGTATCAAATTTTTTAGTAATTTCAATATTAGATAATCAATTAGAAGAAAAATTAAAAAGTTACATATTAGTATGTTTTAATTAGATGCCGTTTTGAAATGCATAATGCAAATTTGGATTATACAATATTTGCAAATTGAATATCAATATCACTTGTGTCTGTTCCTTTGGATCGGGATTTAAGAACGAAAATGACTGCAACAGCAACTAGAACTGCAACAACTAAGATGCCAATGACGATACCAACAATAGCTCCCGTTCCAAGTTTACCTGACTTGGATTTGGAATTATCTGGTTCTTTATCATTGTCATTATCGTCTCCTGATGAATTCTATTTGCTAGATGATGTTTCTGGTGTTCTTGGTGGAACAATTGTCGTTTGCTGTGGCGTTCTAATTGGAATGAAATGCCATGCGCCACTACTTTGGCCAGCTTTTCTATAATCGCCTTCAAAGTAATTAACATTTGGATCATCAAATTTGATTTGAGAGAATTCAACATAGGCATTTGGATGATAGATGATCATGCGATTGATACTTTCGATTGAGTATGTTTCGCCTTCTTGAACAGTGACATTTCGTTCTGGTCCGTTATTCGTTTGAAGTCTCAATTTGATCTCGCTCACATTATGTTTCACTGTCGTTGAGAATGGATAATAAGAATAAATAATTGAGATGTTATGCCATTTGCTATCGATATAATATCCTGGAAAGTCAGATCTGAAATAGTTGATTTCTGCTCCATATTTTTGTGGATTGAATAGTCCACCTGGAATTCCTTTAGCAAGAATTACAATATCACATGGACTAACTGATGAATTGAACGTAAAGAAATGTCCTTCCTTTTTGGTTGAAAGATAAAAGTGATTTGTAAATCCATAAACGCTGTATTGGTCATCTCTCGAGATCATTGCATAATACTTTAATGATTTGTTTTCATATCTGACTGTTTTAAGATCACCTTCCATCAAAATTTCAAATCCGGTATCATAGATTGAGGGTAAATATACACCTGTAACGATTTGTTTGGTTGTATTCGGTGGTAATTCTGTGAGATTCTTCCATGAAAAGATACCAGCGTGTTTACCCTTTAAAAAGAAAAGTGTACCTGTTTCCTCTGTGAAATTAAATCCGTCACCATCTTCATCAAAAAATGTAATTGTTGATTCAACTGCTGACTCAAAAATGATGTAAAATGGCCTTTCTGAAAGAGGGAATTTCAAGTTCAGATCGAAATCATTTGAAATATGCATAATAGTTTCATAATCTGACCCCCTGCGATCATACTTTTCAATCCTCAAAGATTTCGATCCAGATATTGGTTTGACTTTTTCATAAAAATCATTATACCCAAGCAAATACACTTTTTTGAGAGATGTTCCATTTTCGAAAACGAATTCATCTGCGTTTTGGAAATATACCATTGTAGCTCCTGATGCCCACCAGGATTTGACTATAATTAGCTTATACTGATCTTCATTGAAATAAATATCAGTATTGTATGATTTAATATCTTTGAAGTATTCATAATACAATATTTCGCCATGCCATTCATCGACTAAAATTTTAGACTGACCCCAAGTAATATAATGGAAACTTTGCTTTCGAGTTCGGAATAATCATAATTTGAACTTCTAGAAAAGTTATAAAATACAATATCACCTGAGCGATGAGGCCATCTCATCTTAAAACAAAGTTTTGTAATACTAATGAATTGGGCTTTCTTATCATAGGATTTGGAAGGTCTATAATGCTCTACCGAGTATTCAAGTGTAGAATAATTCCAAAATTGAGAGAAATTGATAGGATACCAAGATGTAATCAAAACAATTGGAAACATGTGCTCACTACCTGTACTGAAATCACCTTTGAATAATTGATTTTCTTTTGGATTCACAACTACATCAAGTTCTTCGTCACCGATTTCAAGATAAAAAGTTTCGAATCTTACTAACTTCTTTCCTGACTTTGATTTTAATCCATCGAAGCTATTTACATATAACATTTTTCCCATTCACTCCATTTATCACCATTATAAAATAGTATGTCATTGCATTGATGGGGAAATACCATATTTCCACCGCCATTAAATGCAATCTCCTTCCCTTGTTCATCAATTAAAAATTCAAATTTACCTACTCCAGATACTATGATTTTGTTCGGTTCATAAAACTGAAAAGTGTCATCATTTGACAACACGCATGAATCTAGCTTATAATACCCTGTTGTTTCGACTTCTGGATACACTTTTTCCATTCTAACATAAAGAGCACGTTTTTTGTTCGTATAGGTACGCGTTAATCCAATCAAGAGGTATTTTTTATAGCCATTCTCATAATATGTGCCTGGTCCAACAAGATCATCGTATGGGCTTGTTTGAATTTCCCACAAATATCCTTCTCTTTCAAACCGATAATTAAATTCTGTTGAACTGAGGAAAAGTACGTATTGTTTCTCTTTTGTGAAATTAAATGTGTTGTATGTTACATCTCCACCATTATACACAATTGACAGTGAATCAATGTTGTCAACATTTAATTTTGTAATAACAAATTTTAAAACTGTTGGACCACTTTTCGGAATGATTCTTGGACTGAATAATGTATAATTAGCACGATAAATCATGTTTAAGTCTTGGAAGTCTTCATTATTGATAAAAAATGCATAATATTTCGAATCTGGATAAAGACCTTTTTCAAGTTCGAGTTGTGATTCTTCTGATATCGTAAGTTCGGAGTATCCATATGTTACAACAAATTTGGAAACTGAAGCAGTATACGATACTAATAATCCAAGCATTTAATAGTGTAAATTCTCTTTCAAATTTTGAGAGGATTCCGTAGGAATTCAAATTTTTGAGAAACCTAAATGATGGAAATAAATATTTTTATGAAAATATTATCGCACATCTTGTAAATATGTGATTTGCCTTATGGAAGCGCCGTTAGGAATTGAATAGAATTTCCGAAAAAAAAGCTATAGCGATCATTAAATAACGGGGTATAAGCTGGAGTTTCAATTTGGATAGTTGTCACCCCGTGATTACCATTCAACCATCTGTGCTTACTCAATTCTTCACAAATTATTAATCTTTTAATTAATAGTAATGTTATTTCACTTAATTTATTTAATGATCTATAATGACATTTATAAAATTGATAACTTGGTGATCATAGATGGTTTTCTGTGCTTTGATTATATAGAACATATATGTGCGAAAACTATAGTAATTCATTATTGAAAGCATTCAAAATGTTCTAATATCTTGCCCTGAAATCTCGCAATTCTTTTTCAATAACACCGCTCTCTCAAATTTTAATCACATTCAATTTTCTGAGATCTTTGGGGAGAAAAAAAATAATTATCATTAGAATCAATGGAATATCGTGTTTTATCCAACTTTTGTTGAATTTTTTTTTCATCTAATGTAAATCGAAACACAAACCAACGAATTACAGCTTGTTCTCATATTAATTGATATGAGATATTCAAACATGTTTGTTCAAGCATTCTTTATGCTCTTGGCCCTTCAAATAAAATATTTGTTTTTATATTCAGGGAAATATCATTTGTTAAATTTTCAGACATTTTACAGAGAACACTTTTTGAATTTAAGAAATGTTTAAGTAAAATCCGAAAGCAAAATTGATCAATTCTGTGAAATCCAAAATTTAATATTAGAAAGGCAATTAAATAATGATTTTTTATAATTTTTATTCTATAGATGCTTTATTAAAGCAAGTTGATATTACAATTTTAATAGTTCACATTATAAATCAAAATCGCAATAACTTAATGAAGGAAAAGCTATTTTTATGTTTTGTCGTTACACATTTCCCTTCTACATTAAAAATTGAAAAGATTTTCCCTCATAGAAGAAATATTAAAATTCAAAAACATATATTGCAATTCATTTGATTATTAATAAAGTACGAATCATAAATTACTAAAATGTATTGTAATTATAAAAACAGATTATGTTTTTATGCATCAAAATCTAAAACGAGTTTCTGCAATGGATCTGGTTCAACAGGAGAAGCTAAAATATATGGGAACATTGAAGGATTGAACATAAAAGCATTTTCAGGAGCACCGAATACTTCACTAATTGGACGGAGGGAATCTGGATCAGATCTAAGTGAAACTTTGAGATCCTGTGGGAAATTCTTCTTTTCCCACCAGTGTCTCATCTGATCTGCACTGTAAGGACCGTAAATTTTTTGTGTTGGATCTGCATAAAACCATTGAGAAGGAGCTGATACAGTTGCTTTAGGTGCATTCTTATTTGCATTTTGCTGCTCAACTTCGTTAGCACGTAATTTTCTTTTAGAGCTGCCATCGAGGTTTAATGTTTCATTTGCGAGTAATTGTGGCTTAATTGGCTCATTTAAAAAGATTCCTTTGATTTTATTAAAATCTTCTGGAAGAGGAAGTTTGTCTGAGTAGAATGAAATTAATTCTTTGCGGGTATACTTTACTGAAGCCATTAAAAATTTTAAGACGGTGAAAAAGTGACACATCGTTTCATGAAAACAGTCATTTAAAAATGATAATTATAATAGTCACTGGTTGTACCTGTGAATTATTTTAAATTTTTGAAATTTCCATCACTACTAACATGTTTTTTTGAATTTTTTTTTCAGAAATAAATGGAAGCTACAGCTTCCCAACGTGATACATTTTATAGAGCTGCAAAACAAGAAGGATGGCGTGCTAGAAGTGCATTTAAGCTTATTCAAGTAGCCGACCACTTCAGATTATTCGATAATGTTACAAGAGTTGTCGACTTATGTGCTGCGCCAGGCTCTTGGTCTCAAGTGTGCGCTCAAAGGCTTTCTAAAGTTCCAAATAGTGCTATCGTAGCTGTTGATCTTCAGCCAATGGCACCAATTCCTGGTGTAATTCAAATTAGAGGCGATATCACATCAAAAGAAACCGCACAACAAGTTATCGACGCTATGAACGGCAAAAAGGCCGACCTTGTCATTAGTGATGGAGCTCCTGATGTAACAGGTTTACACGATCTCGATGAATATATGCAAAGTCAACTTGTTTTCTCGGCCTTCAATATAGCATGCTTCATGCTTCGCGAAGGAGGTACATTTATGGCCAAAATTTTTACTGGTCGTGATATTCAAGACCTTTATTCCTCGCTTTCTCCTTTCTTCGAAACTGTTACGGCCATGAAGCCTCGCGCTTCTCGTGTTGCTTCCCTTGAATCGTTTGTTGTTTGCCAAGGATTCAAATTACCTGAAGGTTACACACCAATTTTAACATCAGACCCACAAACAGATTTCGAAGCTACATCACCATTGTCTCCGTCTTTTGTGGCATTTGGTGATCTTTCTGGATTTGACAAAGCAAAAGACAAAATAGAATGGTAATAAAGAATAGAGCTGTTTATTTGTTATAAATCAATCGAATTATTACTTGATGATTAAAATATTTTCCATATTTTTTTAAAATCATAACAAAATTATGAATTTCAGCATGAACACATTTATCATATTGTATTTAAAATCATTGTGAATATCATTTTCACATAAAAAGCGAGATATTGAAATTTTTCAAATGCAAAATGAATCATTACATTGTTTTCATTCACTTTGCATTAACAAATTAATGTCTACAACATAAATCAAAATTAGAACAATTGCTGTGAAAAGATAATGTTAGAAACTTTTCCAGTTCATTTATTATTAAAATAAATTCACATCATGCTTATAAACTTTACTTTTATTGATTAATTATTTTTTCCGTTTGTGTGATAAAAATTTATTAGGTTTAGAGGTCATCGTGCTCAACGTTAGCCTCGCCTGTTTCAGCGTCGGCATCAGCCTCGCCCTCAGCACCGGCACCAGCAGCGCCCTTCTTTGGCATAAGTGGTTCGATCTGTTCCTTGACCTCCTTAAGCTTCTGGTCGTATGTATCCTTGTCTTCTTCCTTATGGTCATCGACCCACTTGGATGTCTCCTCGAGGATCTCCTTGACCTTGTCCTTGTTATCCTGATCCATAGCTGTGTTCTTCTCGTCATCGACAACGTTGCGGACGGAGATGCAGTACTGCTCGAGCTGGTTACGAGCCTCGGCAGCCTTGCGAACTCTCTCATCTTCCTCCTTCATTTCTTCAGCCTTACGGATAGCCTCTTCACGCTGGGACTCAGAAAGACGAGCTTCCTGGGCGTTGATTGTGATGGATTCGCGGGACTTGGAGGCCTTATCTTCAGCGGAAACGAAGAGCATACCGTTGGAATCGATTTCGAATGTAACTTCGATCTGTGGGACACCACGTGGGGCTGGCTTGATGCCGTTAAGGTCGAATGAGCCGAGTTCGTGGTTATCCTTTGTCATTGGACGTTCACCTTCGAAGACCTGGATCTTAACCTGCTCCTGGTTATCAGAAGCTGTTGTGAAGATCTTGCTCTTGGATGTTGGGACACGGGAGTTACGTGGGATAAGTGCGGCCATGACACCACCCTGTGTTTCGATACCGAGGGTAAGTGGGTTAACGTTAAGAAGGATGATCTCACCTGGGTTCTCATCATCAGAAAGAACAGCAGCCTGGACAGCAGCGCCGTGAGCGACAGCTTCATCTGGGTTGACAGCCTTGGATGGTTCCTTGCCGTTGAAGAAGGACTTAACGAGCTGCTGAACCTTTGGAATACGTGTTGAACCACCGACGAGGACGACATCATCGATTTCGGACTTGGAGAGACCAGCATCCTTAAGAACCTGATCGACTGGGCCCATGCACTTCTTGAAAAGATCGTTGTTGATTTCTTCGAAACGAGCACGTGTAAGTGTCTCTGTGAAGTCTTCACCATCCATGAAGTTTTCAATTTCGATGTTGACTTGTGGTAATGTGGAGAGGGTGTGCTTAGCCTTCTCAGCCTCACGTTTCAGCTTAGCCATAGCTTTAGCGTTCTTGGCTGGGTTCTTGCCTGTCTTCTTCTCGTAGGCCTTACGGAGGTATTCGATTGTACGATCATCGAAATCTTCACCACCAAGGTGTGTATCACCACCTGTAGCAAGAACTTCGAAAAGACCATCATCGACAGCAAGGCAGGAAACATCGAATGTACCACCACCAAGGTCGAAGACAAGAATCTTCTTAGAGCCCTTCTTGTTGAGACCGTAGGCAAGAGAAGCGGCTGTTGGTTCGTTGAGGATACGAACGACGTTGAGACCAGCGATTGTACCAGCATCAGCTGTAGCCTTACGCTGGGCATCGTTGAAGTAAGCTGGGCATGTAACGACGGCGTTCTTGACTGGGCGGCCGAGGTACTCTTCAGCGATTGTTTTCATCTTGGAAAGAATCATGGCAGAGATTTCTTCTGGGGAGTAATGCTCTGTCTTGCCCTTGTACTGGACTTCAACGAATGGACGGTTGTCCTGATCAATAACCTTATATGGGAGACGCTTGAGCTCGTTCTGAACTTCCTTATCGGAGTAACGAAGGCCCATTAAACGTTTGATAGCGAAAATTGTGTTGTGTGGGTTGTTGGCCATCTGGTGCTTGGCGGCTTCACCGACAAGTCTGTCGTGGTCAGAGAAAGAAACAACTGATGGAGTAATACGAGAACCAGCTTCATTAGCGATGATATCAACTTTGCCGTTCTGGAAAATAGCGACACAGGAGTATGTCGTACCAAGATCGATACCGATAACGGTACCCATCTTCTCTTTAGTCTCCTCCGCACGGAGTAAGGATAGTAAAGAGAAAAACATTATATAATTTTAAATTGTTTGGCCGCCCAGATAAATCTCACGAATTTTCAGAGGACTAGTCACTTTTATTTTTAAAAGTGAAGTGCTCTGATTTTCGTGGAAAATGGATAGTTTTACTTATTGCAGTATCAATATCCTATATTTTCTTTTTTGTTCGCATTATAGTAATTTGGTCGCAAAAGTAAACTTCTCAATTGTTCTATCTGCACTTTTCAATCACAATTTTGATTTCATTCATTCAATTTTAGGTAATCAGTTCCTTGGTATGATGGCTGGATGGATGAACTTCATAGATTTTGACATAATTAATCGAAATTTGTTAGAAAAAATCCAACTTTCGCCGTTATTAACATTAACACTGAATTAAATTAAAAATTATTCCAATTAGATTAATTTGCTTAGGTGATGTATCATTTGTTCATTTACGAAGATTTCATCTTCAAATTTTCAAAATTCCTATCACAACTGTAAACTTTTTAAATTTTGATATCATTCAGAAATAATCTGTTCTACCCTTATTATTAATATATAACATTTGGCTCTTTTTTTCAAATCATTTCATTGAAGATTTTATTTTTTGTAAAAGCCGAACATTTATATTATGAATGACATTTAGTGCTGAATGTAATAATAAGCTGAAAGTTAAAAAGTTCTAATTTAAGATCGAAAATTATATCAAAAATTTTTAAGCATGGGAATTAAAAACAAATACATACAAAACAACTAAAACCGAGCAAATATTATAAAGCTTCGGGAATGAAGACATCAGACTCCATAAATTTCTTTTTATTGTATTTACAATCTTCTTTTGATGGCATGAAGTTTTTAACGAACATAACAAACTTATCGAGTGGTATCAAGAATGACGAGAGCCTTGTTGATGTGAGTTTCTTACCATTCATTGTGAATCTGAGAAAATATTGATTATGTTTTCGATATTTATAGAGTTCCATTGTAATATAAGTTCCGTATTGAGGCCAATCGCTAGAAGATATACCAATATAACCAAGAAAGGCATTAATATTTCCATCATGTGCTGACCAATGAATAAACTTTGCTTGACTTTGACCACTTATCCTTTTTAACATTTCATTAACCATATCTGCTGCTTGGTAGCCAAAGAAGAGAGGAAAGACATCATCATGGTTGTAAATAAAAAGATGTTGACGAGTTTTGAGGGCAATTGCATTAGTAATATCTTCTTTTGTCATATTTGGTGTAATACTGAATCCTTCACAAAGCGATGATGTTAGAATGTCACCAGTTGCTGACCATTTCGTTTTCAAAGATTTCGCAACTTTTGACATAAAACTCGAATTTTCAAGTCCAATAATGTTCCATTCGCTACTCTTGGAAAGCTTTTTCCATTGGTCTAGTAATCCTGGACAAACACTTGCTTTTCGTCTCCAATGATCATATATTTTGTCTGCATATTTAAATGAGATTTTTTCACCTGGATATAACGATGATGCAAGAGAAATCAATGAATTTTTAGTTCTTTGCGTATTTGTAGATCGAAATAGAATTATTTCTTTATCAAATTTTGAGGGAAGGAATTTCAGTTGGTCAATGTAAAGTTTTCTAAGATGTTTTCCTATTTTCGAGAGTTGTTTTTGTCCTTTACCTAGTAATTGTCCGAAATGGCAATCACCTCCGAAAAGAGAGCTTCCGAAAGCGACATGAATATTAGCACCAGATGAATCTTCTGAGTATGACTTGTGTTCAGAGTTGGAGCATTGCCAAATATCTGTATTTCCTGGCTGTTTATGAAGTGGAGTTCTTGCTCCATGCCTTGTAATTACTTGAACTTGTATTAAATCTGCATCTACAGGAATAAAAGGTTCGAATGATGGCTCACAAAAGGATTCATCAATACTTCGAGCGAAAATCATAAATAACAACATTGATAAATATGCCATTTTCTTATATCGTATACAATATGTAATACATATTCTTCATATTTTATTTAATCATTACTTCGCTATTCTTAATTATTAGTTTGATATAATTATCAATATACATTAACTATTTGTTTGTAATGCAGGTATTCACAATTTCACCAAAAAATGGATAAAATGGGTTCTTGATAATGAATTCAATTGAGATTAAATTTATGAAATAAAATTGGCTCGAAAGTAATATTAAACAAAAAGATATATAATAGAAATATAAATTTATCAGTAACAAATTAAAAAATCTAAAGAAATTTTTTTCTTACTGATCTTCATCAATTTCTTCCCATTCGCAATCAACATCAGCCATTTCAGCTTTCATTGCGTTAATTCCAGACACTTCTTCCAAGTATCCGACTTCTGTTAATGCTCTGAGGATGAAATTCCATCCTTCTTCCTTCCACTTTTTGATAATTGGTTCAGAGCAAGCAACGCAATTCTTGAAAGGCTTTCCAGCCATTGGAAGCAACTGCCATGAGTGCAAGAAGCATCTGAGCTGGTGAGGAACTGTTCCAAGAACTGAATCAGCGTCAGCTTCAGCATTTACTCCTTCTTTTGTCTGAACAATTGATGCCCATAATTCAACACCATAAGAAGAAGCCATTGGAGCAATTCCGGGCCTTGTAACGGTGCATTGCATATCGAGTGTTCTGTCGGTCATTGTGTCTGTTGGTGCAATGACGTCGTTGCAGAAATAACAGCCTAATCCATGGCATCCGCAGCGAACAACTGAAAAAGTGTCAAATCCTAATGCGACTGAAATGCAAAGTTTTTCATTTGCTGTGGCAAGAAGTGTTGGCAACCATCTGCTTTCTCTTGTATCGGTGAGTAGCCATGTGCAGTCGCATTCCTTGATGAGTTTATCAAGTAATTCGACGTTTTTTCGTGTCTTTTCGTACTCGTTTTTGCCTAATGGATGTCCTGGCATTGGAATCGGCATTTCGTAGTATTCTGCTTCGACATCTGGGCAAATACGCTTGAGTTCTTTAGCAGCAGCTTCACATTTGCTTCTGCCACCATCAATGCAGTCGGCAAATGTGAAAAGACTTTGTCTTGGTGGATTTGAAAATGAAACTTTTCCGTAATCAATCAAAACAAATTTTCTGACGCCCCAACCGAGTAAATAACGAGCGACATTGCATCCAAGTGTGCCACAACCAATTAACAAACACTTCTGAGCTTGTAGTTTTTGTACATCGAGTTGAGGACATAACCTCCATTTCATTAATCTTAAATTCAACGATGTTGCAGCCGTAAAGAGCTGCATTGGATCCATTGTAGCTGATAGATCAACGAAATGAGCTGTCTTCTTAGGAGTTAAGTTCCAACCTGTAAATGGAGCATCATTCAAATTAAAATCTTCGACATTGACAGTGAATAATGCAGAATCGTAGCTTAAACGAGCGATCTTAATTGTTTTTGTATTGAATTTACGAGCAATTGCAAGAGATAAGATCTTTGCTGGCCATCCAAGATCTTGATTTGTAGATGGATCGATTAATACAAATGTTGAGTCGGATTTGGCTTCTGTAAGAGGAAGTAATGAGTTTTCTGGGCCCAAAACGTAAATCCAGTTGGAATAATTTGTTTGTTGAGAAAGATATTCAATTTCTGGAGTAACTTCTTTGCTAACGATCTTGATATTATCTAATTTCGGATTTGGAAAAGCAAAACAGTATGTATACTGCCAATGCTTGAGATCTCCAAAAACTGTTAATGCAGATTTAAGAAGAATTGAAGGATTGTTAATCCATTCGCCTGAATTGATATTGTTGATCATTTCGGCTTTGAGAGAAGCCATAATTCCGTTTCTATCAAGTTTCTTGAATGAAGGCTTAGTATTTGTAAGGTAAAAAGTAATTGGAAATGTGCCAAGTACGTTCAAGAAGTGTACGTCGTGTACTTCTTTCTTTGGTTTGAATGAATCTTCATTAATGAATGCAAATGCTTTGACTCCAGCACTTCTTCCTGCTTGAAAATAAGATATAATATCAAAAGGAGTTTCGTCAAGCATCTTATCATTCAGTTTTACCTTATTGAGCTCGTACCAAAAAGAAGGTTCAATAAGTGAGCTGATATTTTGAAAGCTCATTCTGATGATTAAAAAAATTGACACCCAGATCCGACAGTAAAAACAGAAAGTAAATTACAGTATATGGACAAACTAAGGTGGATACTCCAGGTGAAAAGTTGCTCAAGAAAATGCATAATTTTTCATTTTCAAGCTATACCTCATTGAAGTGGTAATTCGATTCAAGCGACAAAAACCAGAAAATAACAAAACTGATCAAGCAGAACATGATGCAGAGAAGCCTGCAGAAAATAACTATGCCGATCAAACAGACTAAATATTACCTAACATCCCTTTAACGGCAAAGAACATATTCGATCTCAAGAAGCCAAATCTAACATCAACAAGATCGCTAATAATACTGTAAATGCTATCAGAAATGTCCTTTTGCAAACAGAAAACGGAGCTGATTATATCCAACAAATACGAAAAAATACTCACATTGAGGTTTCGTTAGATCCTGAACAAAATTCCGCCGATGTTGTATATCAACATGCGCTAGAGGCCATCGATAATTTGATGAGACGCTTTGGAAAAATTCTGCCCTAGTGTAATGTAGTTGTTGTTCGCTGTCAACAAAGAGCGAGATAACATGTCTGTGATTCGTTTATGCTGAAGTTATCTGGATGTCTCTCAAATGCGGAAGGAAATACAGAAAACTTCAGCATAAGTTAATGCAGATGTGATTCTCTGGCACTTTACCGGCCAGAGAACGAATAAAAAGTTTTTGTTGTATGAAAGCTCGATCCATGCTTTATACGTTATTTTTTTATTTCCTCACACAAAATAGTTTTTAATTTTTATAATAATATATGCTTTGTTACTTCATAATTCATCTATTTCCAAAGAGAAACGGAGATTTCTTATGTTTCTAAATTTTGGAAATTTTCAAACTTGATCAAAACTCAAAAATAAGCTGATATTATCATATAGTACATAAAATAACCTATATCCATCATATTGAAATTTTCAGAAAATCGCCAAAAAAATCGTGATTATGAAATTTCGATTTCAAAAAGTACAATTTTCTCAAAGAAAAAAGGAAAACCGATTTTTTTTGGGATTTCTTGGAGAAAAGAATCTCCTTTATCTCCTAATATAGTGCATATTTTCGCGTTCTGATTGCTGAAAATCGATTTTTTTGGATGCATAGAAATTACGAATCAGATGGAAAATTAGGTTTTAATAAGAAAATAGACGATTTATAAGCATACCTTGAAATTATCAAGATAAATATGAAATTCTATTTGGAGATTGAAGAAATTGGTATTTTGGATAAGACACATAAGCTTTTTCAATAATAGTAGTTCCAATTTGTTTCATCACTAGATAAAATGAATAACCGCAAGAAATTTAGAAAACGAACAATTGTTTTATTTTAGTAAAAATTTCCTGGCAACCAAGTATGAATGGCTCTCACATCCAATTTTCCAGAAAATTATTGGAGATAGAGAAGGGAGGATAACGTAGGTCTTTCAAATCAACTTTTCATTTGAATGACCAAATGCAACCACAATGTTACTTTTCTGAAATTCTATATAAATAAATACATAAATGTATTAGGAGAGACAATTGAGTTTATATTTCAATTAAAAATGAGAACATTCGATACAATAATTTTTCTTCCAATCAATATTTCATATTCAAACAAAAACGTACTATTATCTATTCTATATTAATATTTCCAAAATTAATTCTAAATTCTACGATAATCGGTTTCCAAACTCTTTTAATTTTGATAGTTATTGGAAATTTTTGATAACTTTATTCTTCCTTTTGAGGATTTATTCAAATTACTTCTATCTTTAATTTGAACAATACTGATACAGATGTTCATTTCATACTTTTGTAATTTTATCTCACTCAAGAAAAAATTAAAGTAAATTGTGAACTTGGTTTCAACTAAATGGGATGCTAATTCTTTTGTTGTAGATTTTTTTCACTTTTTGTGAATAATTTTATTTTGATAATGGATCCTAAAAAGGGTACCATCCATCAAAATTCTGTTATTAATGCGAGAATTGCAACATGGTTAACAGAGGATGAAATAAAACACGCACTTTCTGCAGAGCAATTTATATCAAAGCTTAACGATACTCAAAAAGAAGAATTGAAAGTTTGCACTGATTCACTTTCTCTCTTTGAAGCATTAGATATAAATAACAGTATTAATGCATTTAACTTCATGTGCGTAAAACCACAACCCGCAAAGAGAGGAACTAGATACCTTGCTATTCTTCAAGAAAATAAAAACCTTACTGCTATTGATGTAGCCACTAATTTGGTAACTCATATCGGAACCGTAGAACGCGTAACATCGAAGCCAAAAAGAACTTTATTCTTTAAATTGACAACGGAAAAGAAACCACGCGAATTTTCAGTGAAACATCAATTAGAATCTCTCCAAGATTGCCTGGAAGGAATTGTCAAGCCGAATAAGACTAATATTCATCCTTTAATCGTTTTACTTCAGCCGTTTATCGAATTACCCGAAGAAGTTCCAAGTACGTTCCCAGAGCATTTCGATTACATCATCAAAGAAAGCTTTACGAAACTGATATTATCTGCCAATACGTCAATCTTGAATGCTTTACAAGATATCGCACTTCCCTCAGCAGGCACACGAAATATTGGCGATCTTATTGCCTATTTGGGTATTAATCATCATCAATTATTTTTCATCGTTAATGCTCTTTTGCCAATCTGCTTTGATAAAATCAAATCACCATCGCTTATTCTACGTGGAGAAAGTATTGTGACAAGAGTTATCAATACTACAAGAAATCACTACTGTTCCGAATATTATTCAGATTTAATTCAAAAACTTGAAGCAGCAGTAACAAGTTTGAACTCATCTGAAGAATTCCTACCAGCCGCAATTGAAGTTCTTCGTCAAAACCCACCACCTGCCATTTTACGATTATTAATGCTTTCTGCTAACAATGCTGCCAAAGAAAGATTCCCAGAAGAACCAAATGCAGGAAATTTCGCAATGTCAAATGTTTATTTGCTCAGAGGCCTTGGTCCAAAACTCACACCAAAGAACCCAGATTTACAGCTCAAATATTCACTCATTACAATGCTTTTCAACTTTACAAACAATCCTAACGTAGTTCCTTTCACTCCTTACCTTAGAGATTATTTATCTTCTCTTATTCAAGATATAAATTACGAGGAAATTCAGAATTTACAACCAATTCCTGACAAGGAAATAGACTCATTGCTCAAAGAGACATTTATTTTCTTCTTAACACAAAGAACACAATTTAAGGAATATCTTGAGAAACCATTCACTTATTCCAAGCATGCAGTGCAGATTTTCTTAGAGCAATGCGTTCGCTTACTTCAATGAAATAATTCACCCCTTTATCTTTAATTTTTTTCACTACTTTAAAGATATTTGTTTTAACTGCAAATATATTTAAATTGTAATAAACATATTAATTATAACTTATTAACTTTATCCTTTTTTTTTGAAGATTTCAAAATGTGATAAATGACTTGTGTTTCGGGACAGCTGTTGGACTCGTATGGTTAAGACAATTCATTAGTGCGACGTAGTTCCAAGGCCATCATTGATAATTCATCATTTTCAATATGATGACATAGATCACAGATTATTGCCTTTCTCTCACACTTTTCATTAATATAAAAATTGAGTCAATAGAACAAGCTTCATATATCTCATTAATATCCAAAATAATCAATTTTTCAGGGTAAAATCTTATTCATTTGAAGTGTTTCTTATAAAACTGAAAATATATAAAATACAATGATATCTAGTAACATATTTTATTAAAAAAACATATTTTTTTTTTCTTATACTCTAATAGAAATTTATTCAATCAATTCAAGGTCTATACTCTTACAAGTCTGGTTTGGTATTGTATTCTTCGGGAATTGGTCTAGTATGTATTTTAACTACTGAAGATAGTGGAACTATTACCATATGCATTGGTCTAATTTGATCACGGAAGTATTCGTCTGCTTTTGTAAGAACAAAGTTACCGAATTTATCGAAAGCTGTAAACGTTCCAACATAAACTCTTTCGTCGTTTAATTCTAATCTCAGCTGTGTGTTGAGGAGATCCATAACTTCCTTAACAGCACCAGTTGGGTGTTCAGGAAGATGAAGAATACTCGGAATATATTCGCAGCCACTCATTTTAAAAGGAACCTGATTTATCAAATCATTCCCCCAACATTTTATAAGAAACTCCGATTGATTCAATACTTAGTGCAAACGTATGATTGTAAGCATATTTCATATATCATGTATTAACACTATACTTTGAAAAGAGTTATAAAATATGATCAGCTAGCATCTCCATGAAATACATGAAAAATAACCGATACCCTGGCAAACTGTCAATAAGTCAGCTGTATTGATGAACAATTATACCTATATGGACGAAAGTTAAAATTCATTTCTTCAGAAACTAAAAATTGAAAATACTTAAGTACGTTACTATATTATATTTACATAAACGCTAATATTTTACAATTTCAAACATTTTTATTTTCTAATTCGATTAATTTTTCATTTAATATTGCTGCTTGATTCGTAATATCATCAAGCTTAGCTTGGAGATCAGACACTCTCTTATTCATGAACTCTGTATGCTCATTAGTAATGTTTGTCGCTTGCTTTTTCTGTTCAAAGTAATTTTTAACCATTTCTTCAAAACTATCAAGCGAAATGTAAGCATTCTTCATAAGATAATATTTATCTTTAAGAGGGCCCATAGTACTGCTTATTCTTTTGATTCGAGAATCATAATCCTCAATTTCTTTTGCAGCTTTCTCCATTTCGGACTGTGCCTCTTGTACATTTTGTTGTATCTCTTTGTTGTTGTCTTTTATCTGTTGAATTTGAGATTTCAAAGCTTTTAATTCTTTTACGTGTTCAGGAGTGAAATCAGCTTCAGAAAACGTGAAATTTAGATCTGTATCTCCATCTCTTGGTGAGGTTGGACTTAAATCGAACTCTCTGGAGCTTCCTCCTCTTGGAGATCTGATAACTATTGGAGAATCAATGTTTTGATTCAAAAAGTATTCAAGATCTTCGCGTTCTTCTTGTAAACGGTCAAAATCTTCTTCTAAAGCTTTGTATTCAGCGGAAATCGAACCAAGTTTTTCTGATTCTTTTTTAATTGAATTGATTTCACTCTTTAATGACTGTATTGATCTGTATTTTGATGAAGAAATATGTGTATCTGGCTTTTCCTTTCTTTGTTGCAAGGTTTTTCTTGTTAAAGCTTTTACTTTTTTGTTTGTATTCTCTAGCAGCTCATTATAAAACGGAAGAAGCTTATTTATTCTCCTTTCGGCTGCATTAGACCCGCCTGAGAACAGATCTGCGACATATATGCAATCATCTTTGTCAAATTCACTTGTAAGAGTATTTGTTAAGTTAACTGCATCCATGAAAATCTGTTTAAGTGTTTCACTTGGAAAATATCCATATGAAAAAACATCAACTTCGTAATTCTGATTTCTCTGAAAGGTTTTTGATAAATCATATATCTGTTCTTCAATTTCAATCGTTTTTGAATCAACTTTTTCAAATAATGGCTTTAGTTTTTCTTCAATTTCTTCGTAATTCTTTTTTGCATCTTGAAATGATTCTCTAGTTTCAATTTCAAATCTACTTTTCCGTATCATCATGTTTAGAGTTTCATCATCCATCATGGAAATCAGTTTAGTATTTTTGTTGATTTCACTCCATGATGGAATGCTCGACATCAATATAATAAAATGAAACAAACCAATTCGGATATTGATTTACATATGAAGGAGATTGTAATATTCAGTCCCACAGTGAATTTCAGAATATATTAAAAATGTTATATATATATTTTTAGGAATTAACTTTCATTTGGTCAGATAGCTTTCATTTCATTTAGGAAGCTTATATCATTATATCCAAATGCATGACATATTTAAATTATCATGATGTTTAAATCAAAATGTTATTATAAGTAATTGAACAATGCATGAACCCAGAAATCCTCTTATCTCGCACATTACCTTAATCATACAAAAGTGAATCAATGATCAAAATTCAATGCTTTTTTTCCTTAAGTAAGGGTGATATTTCTATGCTAGATTGTTTTGAGTGCTAGTATCTTATCATCTGAAGAATCAAATAAAACTTGCATATTGTAATATCTACATGCATATACTAAGCAGTGTAGAGAATACATTTATATTGAATATAAAATGTTTTGTTCATTTTAGTGAAGTCTTTAGGCGCTTAAATTTTTTAAATCAATGAAACACAAATATTATTATTACCATAACGATTACTCTAAATCATCTTTATGAACTGTCAAAGGGGAATAAGAAATCATATTCATCGCGTGCAAACCTTTCAATTCACTCAAATTTTGAGAAACAGACGCGAAGAATATGATTTAAAGTTCAAGAGGAAGAGCTTTGAATGTAAAAATATTTAATTGATTTTTTATAAGAAAATAACATCAGCAAAAAAAAAGTTTATTTTAAATCTTTTCATAGAAAAGAATTGAAGCATCAGGATTAACAATTTCATTCTTATTGATTACAACAGTTGCAGTATTATCAGCGTATATCCATGAATCATCAGGCAACCTTATAGCTGCCTTGTACTGGCCACTTTCTACATCACCCTGATGGAAAATAACCGCTGTCAAACAATAAACAGCATCAGTTGTAGAAACGAAAGCAGCAGATTTCAGTTCGAATGGGAATCTTACGAATGTTGTATTCTTATTCTCAAGGATTCCTTCAACAGTTACTCTCTGCAAGTTGATAATCATGACATCTCTGGCCGACTGAACTGTCTGGAACTTCGTCATATTCGACAATTTTCCACATTTAGGACATTTCATTTTGTCAGCTCCTGAATATTCTGTAGGCAGTGCAAAGCTGGCTATGCAGTCTTCCAGGCGTGTATCATCTGTTTGCTTAGGAATAGGGACTGTCAACATGTCAACGAACTCTCCAAAATCTGTAAATTGATGGCAACTTTCGCATTCAAGAGATCCGTGAGTTTCGACAAACAAAAGGTCGGAAATCTTGCTATCCTCTTCATGGAGAAGGTCCTTGTGGAGAGCATTGATGATAAGGGAAACACCATGCTCCGCAAAGCGCACATCTGAAGTTAAAGCAAATTCTTCAAAACGACGATAGACAAAATTGACAAAAGCGTCAAAAGAAACTCTTTCGTCGGTTGGTTTAGCTAGATCTCTGAAGATCTTACGTACAAGAGCTGTGGTTCTGCCTCCACTACTCGTTGGATCTGATTTGTTGATGAATTTTGGTAATTCTGGATCAAACATTAATTCTCGGACTTTATGAAGGGAATAGAGACATAAAACTGGAAGGCAGATATGGCCAAAGCCTACATCATATGATAATGAATGGAATGTAGATGTTTTGTGGTTTTCCATCTTGATAATTTGAGGAGGTCGCTTTGTGGCTTCTTCTGTAATGACTAAATGCCATAAACCGGCCTTCGTAGTAATAACTTCTGATATTTTTGATGAATTGCTAATTTCCTCTTGACAGGAAGGATCAAAAAGAGTATAATCTTGATTTGGAATATCAAGCTTCTTACAGAGCAATTTTTTAATAGGGCCGACTTTCCAGTTTCCTTCTACATGCTTCCTGAATGTTTTTCCTTGAAATTCTATTTCGATTGGGATTTGATCGATTAATATTGTTGGTTTGTTAGATTTTGGATTTAAAACGTAGTTTCTAGTGATTTTTGGACCGCCTTGGAAGACTTTAATTAATATATTCCATCCATCAAGTGTGACGACAGCGTAATCGACACCAAATTGTTTTGAATTTTCTAATTTTCCGTTCTTGCAAAGCTTATGGTTTGGAATTGGACCAGGGTAATCAATATCAGGTGAATTTAGCCAAAAAACAAACGATTTGAACCATTCAGCTTCAACTAAAGCGACAAGTTGTGGCTGATGAGAGGCATTTAAGCGAGTGAATAGATCCTTTTTGGCTCTTAACATTGATCGAGCTTGCTTTTCTACTTCCGCAGGGTCGACAAGGTAAGAAAGTGATAACTCGCTCATTGATAAAAAGTGACAAATGTAGAAAAAAAGCTAAACGAGCATTACACGAACTCAAATGTTTGAAGTGTATTGATTGCGTTTCGCACAAATTCTCAAAATTTAAAGATTGCGTAATAAGATAACTTTAAAATTTGGAAATTCCTCATCCAGGATGTACTAATACTACTATAATCTATTCTATAGATTCAGTTTGTATAATTTATGATGAAAAATAGCTTCAATATCAATTTTACAACATATTTTCACTAAAAAAAGGAACAAATTCCTCTTCAATCCTTTCCATGCCATTAAAGATACTAGGATCACGCTAGAAGTATGAGTGAATCTTTGAAAATACAATCTCTTGTGACATAACATCAATTTTTATATTAATTGAAATAGCTCTATGAATATTTTGAGAATTACTCTCTCAAATGATTGTTTCTCTTTATAAGTTTGTTTTTTCAAGATATCCCAGAGATAGACCTAAACTCTATCCATGCCTTAGTATATTCATACTCTATTCCTTAGTAATGCGTGGCCAATTTGCTATATTTGGATATCCTAATGATTTTAAATTGCATTCTCAAATGAAAATTCCATATATTAATGACAAACCAATTGCCCTTGGAGAAGGAACCACTAACATTGTAAAACAATTTCATTTCAACCATTCTTTTAGTCCGAAGAGATCAAATATGATTTATTGGCTTGATATTGCAAATGATACATTCGATTATTCAATTTCCCACCCTACAGGAAATCATAATTGGCCACCACATTTCGGAGAAAAAGGAATGCTTGACTTTTATGGAAATTTTACTGCAACTTACACACTCTATAGGGACGTATATGTTAATAGTTTTGCCGAATTTACAAATGAAACTCATCGTATTTTCCCAAATCACTACACAGGACCTGAATGGATTTATAAATTCTACCCTGGCCCGCAAGTAGCGAGTATCTCACATGGAGTTATGTTTGGACACTTCTTTTGCGCACACTCATTTGGCCATTTTACTCATGATTATATGTTTCCATTTATGATGACTCCAAAAGAAATTTTAGACAAAGCAACAATTATTATCCCAGCAAACATCAAATATGCTCGTGATTATATGCACTCTCTTGGCTATGACAATCAAATTTTCGAACTTGATCTTGATAAATGGGTTTTCTGCTACGAAGTTCTTATTCCTACATATCCACGCCCTCATAATGTTCATTTTGGAATGGGTGCTCAGCTTTTAAACTTAAAACTTAGAGAAGCTTTTCATCTTGAAGAAATAATTCCAAATAGATTTGTTTTTATCAACAGATTTAATACACGACTGATCACTAATATGTATGATTTATATTCATTGACCGTTATGAAATATCCTGACATTCCTTGGGAATATTTACCAGATGAAGATGGAAATTTGGAATTTTATGCCAAAATCTATTCAACAATCAAGGTATTAATAATTCCAAATGGAAGTAATGCATTCAAATGCATTTTCATGGCTAAAGATACTCTTGTTGTTCTCATTAATAATGAAATGTGGGATATTTCAAACTATGGAACACTGGCTTCAATTGGTATTAAAATTATCGTATTCTATAACAAAAACTATGGAAGACTTTCAAAGAAGACAGTAATTGATCCTCTTAAGTTCATGCAGGCAATGGATGCAGCATATTTCTATATTAAGAAAGGAAATTTCCCAAAGCCTATTCCTGGTTTCAGTTTCATTGATTACAAATTTGATTTTTGTGATAGTTGTTATAAAAAACCTCAAGACAATGCACATTCAGATAAGACCCAGCTAAGCTAAGGCTCAATACCATTTATATTATTGTTTTTATAAAATTTAAACTGTTTTTTGATTGAATTTTTATAAAAAATCTCAACTTTTTTAAAAAAATTTTGTAGGAAAAGCATATGTAGAAGAATAAACCTTGCTAATAGAATAAAAGTATCAAAGCGCATTCTTAAACGTTTTGCAATAGTTATTGATCATGAGGACAAACAATAGCAGTGTGATAAGATTTCAAATTTCAATATTAAATAAACCTCATGAAGTGTGAAATCCAAGTAATTGTTTGACAAATAAATATCATTTGGTAAGGCAAGTCAAATAACTTTTGCAAAACTGCATGAAAGCATTTTAATATCGCAACTATATCTCTACACAAAAAATTGTATTAGACGATTTACTGTATATTTCAACTGTGTGTTCGCCATTTGAATGAATCGAAATTAGATTTGCTCCTAAAAATATATAGAAATGTATAAAATCAGTGAAAAAAAAACTTAATTATTTTTTATTTCTATTGAATTTTTTTTCTCGGAATACCAGATAAATAAAGAATAATATCTTATGTAAGAGCATTATTTTTTCGCGCCATGCGAAATAAGAAGTTTCATTATATCTTCAAGATACTATATTTTTGCAATACGAAGTGCGGTTTTTCCGTTTTTATCTTTTTCATTGATATTAGCACCATGTGAAATAAGCAATTCAGCTGTTTCTTTACTATTATTATATGCTGCAGAATGAAGTGCGGTGTTTCCAAAATTATCTTTTTCATTGATATTTATACCATGTGAAATAAGTAATGCGGCAATTTCTTTACTATTTTCCTCTGCTGCCATATGAAGTGCGGTGTTTCCAAAATTATCTTTTTCATTGATATTAGCACCATGTGAAATAAGCAATTCAGCTGTTTCTTTACTATTATTATATGCTGCCGTATGAAGTGCGGTTCTTCCGTTTTTATCTTTTTCATTGATATTAGCACCATGTGAAATGAGAAATTCAGCTGTTTCTTTACTATTATTATATGCTGCAGAATGAAGTGCGGTGTTTCCAAAATTATCTTTTTCATTGATATTTATACCATGTGAAATAAGTAATGCGGCAATTTCTTTACTATTTTCCTCTGCTGCCATATGAAGTGCGGTTTTCCCGTTTTCATCTTTTTCATTGATATTAGCACCATGTGAAATAAGCAATTCAGCTGTTTCTTTACTATTATTATATGCTGCCGTATGAAGTGCGGTTCTTCCGTTTTTATCTTTTTCATTGATATTAGCACCATGTGAAATGAGAAATTCGGCAATTTCTTTACTATTTTTCCATGCTGCAGAATGAAGTGCGGTGTTTCCAAAATTATCTTTTTCATTGATATTAGCACCATGTGAAATAAGCAATTCAGCTGTTTCTTTACTATTATTATATGCTGCAAAATGAAGTGCGGTTTTCCCGTTTTCATCTTTTTCATTGATATTAGCACCATGTGAAATGAGAAATTCAGCTGTTTCTTTACTATTATTATATGCTGCCGCATGAAGTGCGGTTCTTCCGTTTTTATCTTTTTCATTGATATTAGCACCATGTGAAATGAGAAATTCAGCAGTTTCTTTACTATTTTTCCATGCTGCAGTATGAAGTGCGGTTTCTCCATTTTTATTTTTTCCATTGATATTAGCACCATGTGAAAGGAAGTATTCCAAGAGGGACGGAATACTAAACATTGATGAATAAACAAAGCATTTGTTTATATCATTAGTTTGATCGAAATAAACTAAAAAGGATTCAAGATTATTGTATAGTCCACAATATTCTAAATTGATCTCTATATTGTATTCATTCACCAAGAATGTAATAAAATCTATGTTGTGTGAAATTATTGCATATTCTATGCAATCCGTATATGGTTTTTGATATTTCAAACATTCACTAATGATTTCTTTGTTTCCCCTTAAAAATGAAAATTGTAGACATAATTGAGTTATTTCTGAACTGAATTTTGTTCTTAATAACTTGAAACAATCAACTGCTCCATGGTAGCAACATAATTCAAGTAATGAATATCCATAGTAAGAATATGGATATAAACTACTTCTAAGTGTTTGATTTACAGCAAATCCTTCTCTTTCAGTGAATGAAATGAATACTTCTAAGTCATTATTCATAATTGCTCTGTAAATTGTATTCTCTTCATGAATATCGAGATTTCCTGAATGATCTTTTTCAAAATCGGCAGATTTGTCTAATTTAACTCCATATTCTTTATAAAACAGGAAGTTTGGAATAAATTCGAGATTGTTGACTTCTTCCACATGATATTCATCGTAAATGAGTTTGGCAAGAAATAAATATGACTTTGCATAGCGATTGTTGTACGGAATGATACGTAAAATATCTTTCATAATTATTTGAGGTGGATATTTCTTTGAATCGATCAATTCTGTTTTGATCATCTTGTAAATCTTGTTTAATTCTCCTTCGTTTTCTGTTTTTAGCTGATACAATGCAAGATACGAATCGATATAGTACTTGTAGGTACTTCGCAATTTGTTGTATTTGCTTGGATTAACGTCTTGATCGGACATTAATAATTTTTAAAAAAGACACATTTGCATTTTCCCATATAAAACACCCCTTAAATTTATTGGAAGAAAAAAATACTATGTTATACTTGTGGAAAACAATGACCATAAAGAGTTCGGATGTAATATATGAATTTTGATTAAGTCCATGGATAGGAAATGATGCAGTAACAATGGAAAAGCCGATAGCAATAGAATTTTCATCAAGATACTTGATTTATTTAAGATTTTTTTTGCCAATCATTCTAAATAAATTAATTCTTGGAATATAGATAATGGAATATATTTAATTTATAGAATTATTTCGTTCAATCTCATTTTTCATTCCATCATTTTAGAAATTTTGTAAACTATACAAAAATAAAAGTAATGAAAATCGGGAAAAAAATCGAGCATTCTCGATTTGTTCCTATCATTTTCGAGAATAATATTAAAGATTTTAGTAATGTCAGCTTCGAAGAAATATCAAGTGCCCTTTATGGCCAAGGAAAACTCACTTATTTAATTGTTTTTTCAACAGAACCAGTTATATTTCCTCCATCGAGTGAGCAAATCATTGAAAAGCGCAATATCATCGTCCAAAATGATTCAGTTATTACAGAAACTTTATTTACACATTTTAAATCTTTAATTGTTTCAATTTACGCTCAAATTTTTGATTCTAGAGTTAATGGCTATATTGGCATCGTATCTGTTAATTCAAGCGATGTCTTAGGATACTTTATTGTTCGCTGGCTTATAGAAGAGAAATCTTTTTCATATGATACAGCAAATACGATCTTTAAAGAGTCAGGCATTCCAATGATTACTAATGAAAAATATCTGAACCTACTCAAAGGCATTTCCAACACAAGAACCGTTGTAAATCAAAAAATCCATAATCGTGGCGCAGATTACAACAGTATTCTTAAAATTGTTGAGACAGGTGTTTACAGAACAAATAGCCAAATACAGCCAGCACCAAATACCATTAAAAACAAAACGTTTACGAATTTTCAAATTTTATGTCGTGAAATCAATATGAAACTTAAATTACTACAAAAATCATTACCAAGCTTTAGTTGCAAGCTGATTTCGAGGAAATTCCTTGAAGAAGCCAAAAAATCAAAAGATTATGTTGTTACTCTCAATCCCTGTGGCACTCATTCGATTTTATACGCATCAGACAATTTAGTACAAATAGTATGTGATAACGAATACATAATTACTACGAATCTTTATCTTCCTTCTCCAGATAATGAGAATTTACTTGACAACTCAATATTTGAAGGATATTTCATAGACAAAGATGAAATAGGCCAAGATACATTCGTTATTTGTGATGCATTGATGTTTAATGGCCAAGATTTGAGGTCAGAACCTTTAGATATAAGAATTGGATTCATAAATCAATATGTGTTTGGCGAAAGAGCCAAAGCCATAAATAAACTGGCCGGAGAAACAATAAGAATCATGTTACGACCTTATTTTCCACTAAATAATTTATCAACAATTTTACCAAGGCTTGATCAGGTCGTTACCTATCCAGTTTACAGTATATTGATAGGACCAATAACATCCAGTTGGTGCCAGGACCAAAATACCACGGAATGGGTTTATTGGAACAGATATTTGCCCCGACCAATTATAAGCTTGTCAGTTAACTTTACATTGAATGAATTGTATGGTCTGATATCGATACATGGCGGTCTCGTCAAAGCGATGACTCTTGGTTCATTATCAAAAGATTTGACACAATTGGACGGCCAACTCGTACAGATTGAGTTTGATACAACGAATAAGAGATGGAATCTCCTTAATTTCGTTACTGACCAACAAGTTTGGACATATGACCAATTCAGTAAAGATTTTGCCACGGATGAGCTTCCAATATCAATGGAAGACTTACAAAGAATATCTTATTCTTTCAGATGATTTATTTTCATATCATTTTTTAATAAAATGTTTGTATTTCTTTTTAAATCATTAATATTTGATTGAGAATATTCAAATATAGTTTAGTTGTGCTAGGATTGCATCTCTGAATACATAAATTTCAATGATAAAAAGATTTTATAGTACTACCGGTATACTATAAATAAGAGTTGACTTCAAGTTATCAATTTCATTATTGTTATAGACCGAAAATAGATTTTTTCGGTTTTCTCTTCAAATAATTGAAAGAATGATACTATTATAGGTTTATTATATTATATAGCATATAATCATGCTATAGCCGAAAATTATAAGTTTTGAGAAGATTGAATATAACACAAATAAATTTGAATGTAAGTTAAATTGCTTGTTGTTTTTAATAGCTATTTAATGAGAAATCCAATATTGCAAAATTCAAATTGAATGATTGAAAGAACAGAAAAAGTCATTCTTTTCAATTTCGAATATGTTTCATTGTATTTATAATTATATGGCAAATAAGATATTTAAACTTGATTTTTGAAGGAAAATTCACAAAATTGAATAAATTCAAATAATTTTATTCAAAATAAACTAGTTATTTGAGTTTAATACTAATTATCTATTCAAACTACAAAGTTTGTAATTTAAAATATTTTGTGAGATCAGATTGAATTAATTCAAGGTTCTTTTCAATTAATATTAATGACCATATTACGCATTTTCGAACATTCTAAACCAAATATATAAAAATGGGAGACGAATGTTAAATTTGCTAGACATGGGGGAGTTGTCTGCAAAGTTTTAGCTCTTATCTCTAACAAAAAATTAATTTTTAAAAAAATGACCGAATACGTTTCACAGCGAGAAAAAAATAAAAGACAAGATAGAATTTTCTAGACATAAAGAAGTTGTTTACCGAGTTTTAGCTCTTCTCTCTAACAAAAAATTAATTTTTAAAAAAATGACCGAATACGTTTCACAGCGAGAAAAAAATAAAAGGCAAGATAGAATTTTCTAGACATAAAGAAGTTGTCTACCAAGTGTCAGCTGTTACTTCTTCTCAATACTGATATAAAATAAAAATCTTTATTATTTATTTAACCTTTATTGTTTCATTAAACTTCATTTATTTTATATTATAGTTTTATTCTTTTAGCTACTTGTAAAATAATCTAATTTTATATCATCATTTTACCGGATTATTCTTCAGTACATCGATTGTGTATCTAAAATAATATCATTATCCTTATTCTGTTTTTTCCAAAATTCTTTTAAATATCTTTTTTGGTTAGATTACTTTATACTTTTTACTTTTATTTTTTAATTTCAAAAAAATTTGGTGATTGTTCTATTCTGTTACAATGTGCATTATCATTCTAATGAATTATTCATTACATACATTTAAAAAAACTTGTTAAAAATGAAATTAAAAAATTATGTTTATTATTACGCTGTGAATGTGTCAACAGCGGTCATGCCTGTATCTGTATCCCATATTTGCCACAACCTTTCTGTATCTGCATTTGTGTATTTCGGTTTCAGCTGATACATTTGATTTGGCGTGTAATTTGTTCCAGTTAATGGATTAATTGGGAGATCTTCATGCGGTGTGTTATTATTGTACTCCCAAATAAAGGCAGGAATAGCCTGAATGCTTTGGCAGCGCTCCAATGTCGGCCAGAATCTCTCAATCTTCCCATTTTGGTAGGGAGAATGAGAGTCTGTATGCCGCCATTGGACGCCCCAAAGATCAAGTAGATCTTGAAAGGCGCCCCTATTTTCTGAACCGTTGTCGGTCCAGAAACAATAAGGGGCGCCAAATTCAATGAAGGCGGAAGCCGCAACGTTCGCTGTCGTCGCTGCCAGCATATCTGGTATTTGTATACACGCTAGGACTTTGCGGCTAAAATCGTCGATTATGCCATAAATATACTGGCCACGAACACCCCTAAAATAATGAACATCTGCGTGCCAGATAAGATTGGGTGAAAGCGCCCAATATCTTACTGCTGTTTCTGGCCCGGCATGCTCTAATCGCGTCTTGGTGAAATGATTTTCTTTGAAGTATCTGCGTACTTCTCTATAAGATACATCAATTTGTTGTAATTTCAAACGTTTCCATTGTTTTGTTTGACCACAGGGAAAGGCCAGTGGTCATGTATCACAGCAAGAGCTTTGATTTGGTCGTAGGGATTGACCCTACGACCTTTCTTGCCTTTAGGCAATGGGATATTCTGTAAGCTAAATTGATTTTGTAAAAAAGATTTTGAAACATCTAAATTTTGAAATCATTTGATTGAAGGGTTGGGGCGATGGGAACATGGGTGCAAGCTTCTTCCCATGTCATTTTACCTTCTTCAATCTGATTGGAAATACCAATTAGGTAAATTCGATCGACATACCCTTTGTAAGGATTCATTCTAATGAAGTACGTTAACAATCAAAATATTCTATAAGTGTCTAGTATGGAATTCAAAAGAATAAAGAAAATGGTAACGTAAATAAACGTATTATGAAATAATTTATAATTAAAATGAAAAAAAGAAAAAATAATAAGTAAAGTGACTGGAAATGAAAATGAAAATCAGTGTACAGTTTTATTTTTTTCTCGCTGTGAAACGTATTCGGTCATTTTTTTAAAAATTAATTTTTTGTTAGAGAGAAGAGCTAAAACTCGGTAAACAACTTCTTTATGTCTAGAAAATTCTATCTTGCCTTTTATTTTTTTCTCGCTGTGAAACGTATTCGGTCATTTTTTTAAATTTTTTGTTAGAGAGAAGAGCTAAAACTCGGTAAACAACTTCTTTATGTCTAGAAAATTCTATCTTGTCTTTTATTTTTTTCTCGCTGTGAAACGTATTCGGTCATTTTTTTTAAAAATTAATTTTTTGTTAGAGATAAGAGCTAAAACTTTGCAGACAACTCCCCCATGTCTAGCAAATTTAACATTCGTCTCCCATTTTTATATATTGGTTTAGAATGTTCGAAATGGTGAATGTTATATGGTCATATATTAATTGAAAAGAACCTTGAATTAATTCAATCTGATCTCACAAAATATTTTAAATTACAAACTTTGTAGTTTGAATAGATAATTAGTATTAAACTCAAATAACTAGTTTATTTTTGAATAAAATTATTTGAATTTATTCAATTTTGTGAATTTTCCTTCAAAAATCAAGTTTAAATATCTTATTTGCCATATAATTATAAATACAATGAAACATATTCGAAATTGAAAAGAATGACTTTTTCTGTTCTTTCAATCATTCAATTTGAATTTTGCAATATTGGATTTCTCATTAAATAGCTATTAAAAAAACAAGCAATTTAACTTACATTCAAATTTATTTGTGTTATATTCAATCTTCTCAAAACTTATAATTTTCGGCTATAGCATGATTATATGCTATATAATATAATAAACCTATAATAGTATCATTCTTTCAATTATTTGAAGAGAAAACCGAAAAAATCTATTTTCGGTCTATAACAATAATGAAATTGATAACTTGAAGTCAACTCTTATTTATAGTATACCGGTAGTACTATAAAATCTTTTTATCATTGAAATTTATGTATTCAGAGATGCAATCCTAGCACAACTAAACTATATTTGAATATTCTCAATCAAATCACCTCAAAAAGAGATTATAGCATTGATATATGTTCTAATTAAAGAATCCAAATTAATAAAAGTTAAAAAAGAAAATTTCCCATTAAAAATAAACTATTGAAATTTTTTCAATTAGTTCAAATCGAATTTATTGAATTCCATTTTGAGCTGTCAATTTAGCCATACAATATAACAACCAAAACGTTTTGGGAAAATTTTTATTGAAAACATGTCAAATTTTGAATCACTATCAAAAAAATGTTTGCTTTGTTGTTCCGGAAAAACACATATGGTTATGATCATAAAAAAATAAGCCGATATTATGAAAACCTTGACCGTGGAGTAGTTGCAATCAGGTCATGATGGACCACGGCTTATATTTCGTGGAGATTTTTAATCACTGACGATGACAACATTGCATTTAATGTTTATCGTCAAGATGAAAGCAATCATACATTGAAGGTGAACAACCAATCTATTTCAACAGTCACCCATTTTTATGATAATACTTATGATGCTTCAAAAAGTTACAATTACTTCGTTGGATCCATTGTTAAAGGTGTTGAAGTTGAAAACAGCTCTTATTATTTCATTGCTGCCAATACTCCAATTCTTGATGGTTTTCGTGTTCAAATTAGACCAGGCGCATCTTCCGAACAGTCTATGTTGGAGATTTAAATGGTGATGGTAAGCTTGACTTTGTTATTGCCCGTGATGGATCCGAGATTCAAACTGTTGAAGCGTATTTGCACGATGGCACATATTTATGGACTTTAAACCTTGGTCATAATAGTATTAATCGTTATATAATTGAACCGGGAGCAACAACAGTCAATGTTGGACAAATTGATGGAATTAACGTCTTTGATCTTGACGGAGACGGAAAGGCAGAAGTATATATCAGAATTGCAAACAATTTTACGTTTGGCGACGGCTATGTCTTCACTCACGAAAACGATGTTGAACAATGGGTTGCAAGTGTAGATGGAATGACCAGAAAACTATTGCAAAAAGCCAAGATTCCAGACATGTTTTTACAACACGGCCCAATGGGAACATTATTTGGAACAGGCTGGTTATCTCATGAAAAACCATCTCTTATTGTTGTGATGAAGAATAGAGATAGCTACAGAAGATTCTACAATGTTGTTGCTGCTTATTCATATACTAATGGCGTATTCAAGATGGACTGGAATTAGACTGACGGATATTCTAATATTCTTTACCCTGAAGGCCACCAATTCAGAATTGCCGATGTAGATTATGATGGTGTTGACGAAATTCACGAAATTGGATATGTTTTGAATGGTGATGGCTCTCTTAGATTCAACTTAGGAGAAAAAGGTATCATACATGGAGACAGATTTTATGTTGCTAAGTTTAATAAGAATGATACAACAATGAGTGGATATGGTATTCAACAAAGGAATCCACAACAAATTGATGAATATTACTATAATGCTTCAACAGGAGATATAAAATGGATCCATTATGGTCCTCCTGATCATGATGTTGGAAGAGGAAATGCAGGAGATTTCGATCCAACTCATCCTGGCTACGAAGTCTACTCTTTCCAATGAATGTACAATGCAGCAACAAACACTTCAGTAAATCCAGATCCAGCATCAACGATGTTCCCAAGTAACAACATTTATTGGGATGGAACATTAAATCCTGCTTGCTACAATCAAAAAGTTCTAACAAAATGGAATCCTGTAAATGGAAGAGGGGATAGATTGTTTACAGCTTACAGAGCTTTTTTCGATGCATATGGTGGTTGGCCACAAGAAGATGAATCTGGAAAATATCCTTTGTTCCATGGAGATATTATTGGTGATTGGAGAGAAGAATTCATTATGACATTGCCTGGTTTCGATACATTGATCATATTCACTTCAAGCATGGATACAGATATTAAATTAACATCTCTGTGGCATGATCCAGGAATGAGAGCATCAATGACATTAAATGGATACAAACAGAGCCACATGCCGCTCGAATACCTTGGTACAGAAACAAACACCACAGAACATAGACAAAATTTGAAGAAATATCACTTACTTCGTGTTGTTCCAGATACACCAGCACCAACTCCTCTTCCAAGAACACCTATTGAAACCCCAACTGCAACTCCAACAATGCCTCCTGCTAATAATAGTGATTCAACGAATAACTCTTCAATTAAAAGTGATGAATCAAACAAGAAAAAAGTTAATGTTGCAGCAATTGTAGTTCCAATAATTTTTGTTGCAGCAGCTCTTGTCTGTGGTTTCTTCTTATATCGCTACATCAAAGCAAAGCGTACATCAGATAATATTACTGAAGTAGCTCTTATTGTTTAAAATATGCGTTTTTTATTATTATTAGTTTTAATTTTTTTTATTTCATTTTTATGACTAAAAGTGACACGGCCAAAATTTTTTTTCAAATCATGTCAAGTTCAGAGCAGCCAAAAAAATGAAAATTGGTGCAATTGCAATGACATTAAGCCAATTAAAGAATTCGAATACCCAGATCAAGCATCAAAAATTATTTGGGGCGTCAATTCCAATAATATTATACAATTATCTTCACAAATTATCGAATTAATAAGAACACACAAAATACCTATCAAAATGACACTTTATTTGATTGATATTTTTTCCCAAATTCGTGTTAAAGAAATTAAATTATTTTCAGAACTTTATCAAAAGATATCAAACGCATTTTCATACATCCATGAACCGAAAAATGAGAAATTGGCTACTCTTCTACATTATCAAGGTTTCAAATTTGAAAATTTCGAACCTGAAATGAACGAAGAAGAAATTCTGAATTTATATCCAACAGGGTGTCCAAAGGTGTGTTTAGCACAAACCTGAATACTGCGAATAGAAATAAACAAGTTACATATATATAAAGTTTATTTAAATATAATCACCATTGGATTCAATCACGCGTTCGCAGCGATCGATCCAGGCTTCAAAGACACGCTTTAAATCATCATGAGAAAATTGCTCAAATTGCTCTCTTACAAAATTTTCAAGATCATCTGGACTCGCGAATTCGCGTCCTTCAGCTCTCTTTTTTAGCGTGCCGAATAAATAAAAGTCAGAGGGTGCAATATCAGGTGAATAAATTGGGTTTGGAACAACTTTGACATTGTTTTCCACCAAGTAATTCATTACCTTATGACTTTTGTGAACTCTTGAATTATCAAAATGAATTGCAAACTTTTGTTTTTGTTGTTTGGATTTCTCAAACTCATCAGAATTGATAATTTGAGTAAGAACATTGTCAATTAGATACTGAGCATTCATCGTATTTTTTTGAAGAATATCAATTGCGATGATGCCATTCACGCCCCAAAAAACCGACAACATAATCATTGGTGTGTCAATTTTTTTCTTCGGGAATGTTTGCGGATTTTCATCCTTCGGGATCCACATGATTTTGGCTTCTGTTGCATATTGAAACCAAGACTCGTCCCCTGTTACTAAAAAGCGAAACTTCTTGGATTGATACGCACGCAATATAGAGAGGAGCTCTTTCGAAGATTGGACTCTAGATTTTTTTTGAACTGAATTAAGGTTGTGCGGAACCCAACGTGTATACGCTAGTTTGTAGCTCAAATAATTGTGCAGATAATAACTGACTGTTGTACGTGGTATCTTTGTCATCTCCTCTATCCTTCTGAGTGATGCTCTTGGGTCTTCATCTAGCGCTTGAAGAATTGCTTTGATTTTTCTTTGATCCGGCGATTTTTTATCAATTTTTATGATGGGCGCCTTTTTGTTCATGAAGTGATACATCCTAACATGATACGTTACAGTGGAATAGCTAGGAGCATCCATACCGAAGCATTTTACCAATGTCTCGTAGATTTTTTACAGTCTTTGCATTTTTTTGCAAGAGCGAGGATGTTTTCTTTATGATTCATTAAAAAAATGAAAAAAATCCCGCCAAAATTTCCCGCGAAACCACCTCTTGTCTCAAAATTCATTTTATATCCCTGCATGGCGCCAAAATACAACTTACTCATCATATACATATATTCATATTTTTTATTATATATTTATAATCAGCATATATCTCCTTTAATAGTCTCATATAGAGCGCTGTGCTAAACGCACCTTTGGACACCCTATATATTGCATGGGATAAAGTTGATGAACTTAAAAGTAAATTCCCAAATCTTGATATTTATCACAGAATTAATGATATCACACCGCTTGATTATGCAATTAAATATGGATCAGAATTGTGTTTCAATTACATGAAAAATTTAGGAGCTCAATACACCAATAATTCCGAAGAATATGCTGTTCAAGGTGGAAATAAAGAGATTTTTATGCAAATGATAGAAGATGGTAAATCATTTGATAACGTGATTAATGCAGCATTGGATTATCGCAATTATGAAATTGCTGAGTATCTCAAATTAAATTTCGGACAAACTTTTGATTCAATAACAGAAAGCATGTATTTGGGAAATTATGATATTGCATCTTATTTACTTTCTAATAGAGAAGATATCAACAAAATTTATCATCTCTTTAATATCATATTTATCATTGTTGTATAAAATTCTCTATCTTTTCATATATATCATTGTTTTATTATATTCTCTCAATATTAATGAATGCCCTCTTAGTATTGCTATCAAATCTAATTCAATAGAAATTGTCAAATTCCTAGTTGAACATGGTGCAGATGCTAACATAAAACTTATTCTCTTTCTTTTCATATTTATTATTGTTTTATGAATTTCTTTTTCTTTTCATATTTATCATTGTTTTATGGCATTCTATTTCTTTACATATTTTTCTCTGTTTTATAACATCCTCTTTCTTTTTATATTTATCAATGATTTATAACAATCCCTTTCTTTACATATTTATCAATGTTTAATGAAATTCTCTTTCTTTTCATATTTATTATTGTTTTATTATATTCTCTCAATATTAATGAATGCCCTCTTAGTATTGCCATCAAATCTAATTCAATAGAAATTATCCAATTCTTAGTTGAACATGGTGCAGATGCTAACATAAAACTTATTCTCTTTCTTTTCATATTTATCATTGTTTTATAACTTTTTCTTTCTTTACATATTTATCATTGTTTTATGGTATTCTGATTCATTTCATATTTATCATTGTTTTATAGAATTCTCTTTCTATACATATTTATCATTGTTTTATTACATCACCTTTCTCTTCATATTTATCATTTCCTTATTACATTCTTTCGATATTAATGAATGCCCTCTTAGTATTGCCATCAACGCGAAATCCATAGAAATTGTCAAATTCCTAGTTGAACATGGTGCAGATGTTAACACGAAACTTATTCTCTTTCCTTTCATATTTATCATTGTTTTATGGCATTCTCTTTCTATTCATATTTATTATTATTATATGGTAAATATGAGTGTGGTAGAATTTACGAAAAAGTGACACTTAACCTTAAATTTCCAAACACTATTTTTTGATTGTATTTTGTTATTTATATATTTATATATATAAATATATTTATATATGTATATTTATATATGTATATTTATATATGTATATTTATATATGTATATTTATATATGTATATTTATATATGTATATTTATATATGTATATTTATATATGTATATTTATATATGTATATATGTATATATGCATGTATTTATATATGTATATATGCATGTATTTATATATGTATATTTATTTAAAAAAATTAAAAATAATATAATTAAAATTTATTTATATTTTAAATTTCATACTGATCTTCGATTCCAATTTGTGAATTGATATCATTAACAATTGAATTTCGGTGCACCCCTATGAGAGCGCTGGCGACCGAAACACCACTAGTAAGATTGTGTATTAGAAACTGCTTCATGCTGTGTTGAGTAAGCTTCGATGTCTTTGTAGGATAGCTTTCTGAGAGCGAAACAAGATAGTGTTGAAAAAAAATTTTGAAAATCTGAGAGACTGTGCAAGAGCCAACGACCAAAACACTACCAGTAAGATACAGCAGTAGTAGCTGCTTCATGCTGCATTGAGTATTGTTGAATAATTTGAAGTAGTGGTTTTTGAAATCAGCACCCCTATGAGAGCGCTGGCGACCGAAACACCACTAGTAAGATTGTGTATTAGAAACTGCTTCATGCTGTGTTGAGTAAGCTTCGATGTCTTTGTAGGATAGCTTTCTGAGAGCGAAACAAGATAGTGTTGAAAAAAAATTTTGAAAATCTGAGAGACTGTGCAAGAGCCAACGACCAAAACACTACCAGTAAGATACAGCAGTAGTAGCTGCTTCATGCTGCATTGAGTATTGTTGAATAATTTGAAGTAGTGGTTTTTGAAATCAGCACCCCTATGAGAGCGCTGGCGACCGAAACACCACTAGTAAGATTGTGTATTAGAAACTGCTTCATGCTGTGTTGAGTAAGCTTCGATGTCTTTGTAGGATAGCTTTCTGAGAGCGAAACAAGATAGTGTTGAAAAAAAATTTTGAAAATCTGAGAGACTGTGCAAGAGCCAACGACCAAAACACTACCAGTAAGATACAGCAGTAGTAGCTGCTTCATGCTGCATTGAGTATTG